CTGAGGATGGTGTGCTACGACTTGCTGTGAGCCTGGACTTGCTCCTGGTGATTACTGAGTCTTCTAGCTCTTCAAACCACCTCTCTACTAACCCCTTCCACCGTCTCACCTGGGGTCCACGTTAGACTCACTCCTCTGCAAACTGCATGCATTTTCTTCCCCCATGTGGACATCAGGGCTGCGTTTGCATACTTCCAGTCTAATAAAAACCAGACCAAACCCACTATCGTTGAGTTGATTCCAACTCATAGCGACCCTATAGGACAGATAGAACTGCCCCATACAGTTTCCAAGGAACGCCTGGCGGATTCGAATTGCCAACCTTTAATTCCCTTTCTGTTCTTTAGAGATCACCAGCTGTAGCTCCTATAGTCCCCATTTGCATGACCAAGCTTTAGAATCTCCTATGGCTCTTGCTTTAAAAGAGAGAGAGAGATGGGGATGAGAATTGATGACTCTGGGGTGTCTTCTAAATTCCCAAGTCAGGGCTGAGTGCCCCTAGCAGTTTTAATGAACCTGGTAAATTTGGGACCCACTGGCTGGAATGGAGACTGCCCATCCTGGGAGGCAGGAACTCCTCTGCCATCTGGCGCTGCCCCCATTCCCACGCCACCATGTTCCTGCTTCATCCCAAGCAGCCCAAGGCAATGGAAGCCACAGATCCAGACTTGCTGGGGGTCTGGCATTGGGCACGGTGTGGGGGTTGCATCCAGGCACCCTTACAGTCCACTTCTGTCTGATTTCCAGAGTCCAGCAGGCATAGTCCCCACTGTGACTGGGGGAAAAGAATGAGGGCAGGAAGTGAGGAGGGTGAGGTGAGTATGAAGAATGTGTCCAGAGATAAGGTTTGTCCCTATATTGTCTCGATCCCCTAGCCTCTGGTCAGCTCTGGTGGATTAGCTGGAGCATGTAAGGTGGACTCTAAGAAAAGGTGGAAAAACTGGCTTCCTAAGTATGTTAGCCATGTCCATGGCTTTTGCAGCCTTTGGGAGAAGTGCCCCCTGCCCCTCCCTCTTGTTAATCATGGTTCACTCCCCAAATGTCTGTTGGGTGCCTTGCGGGAGGGAGTCCGTGGGTGGTGCAAATGTTGGCTGCTAACTGAAAGGTTGGAAGTTTGAGTCTACCCAGAGGCGCCCTAAAAGAAAGGTCTGACGATCTACTTCTGAAAACTAAACCATTGAAAACCCAGTGGAGCACAGTTCTACTCTTACACACCTAGGGTCACCATGAGTCAGAGTCAACTTGACAGCAGCGGTGTTTTTTTTTGCCTTGGGGGAAGTGGATGTGGAGGGGCTGCCCTCGTGGAGGATGAAGTTGCCACCTCATTGACCCTGGGCACAGTGGCTGGATTGGTGGACATTGCAGACTGTGTTTCTCTGACCCTCGTGAGTCAGTGGTTTGTACCTTGCTGGGCCTTCCTGGTCGGGCCCTCAGCAGGAGGCAGCCATAGTAAAGGAGCCGTCAGGGTCAGCCTGGAAGCCCCATCCATCAGTGTCTGTCTCCAGACCAGCTGGCATCCTGGTCTTGGCAGTGATTCCATAATGGGAGCCTGAGCCATTAAAAAGCCATTACAATCTCTTTGTGTGGTTAGTGGTTATCATTTGGAGCTGCCTAGAACAGCGCCTTCTGAAAGAGGCAGGCTGAGGAAGCTCTGGTGAGAGAGGAAGGTTCCCTAGGAAGGGTGCTGTAGTGGGAGGTTAGGAGGCAGGGCCATCTGGGGGTAGGGGAGAAAGAGGAGCCGGGCTTGCTGAGGATGAGAGGAGCTTGTGGTTCTGCTCTCTCTGGAGACAGCCACTGTAGCTATCATTCTTCTCCACAGCATGCTGCCAGTTTGCAGGGCATTCTTTGTTGCTCACCAGGGACAGTTGTTGTCTATTCTGGATGCATTGTTGTTAGCTGGAAACACCCACCAGTGCAAGCTCATCACTGATAGGGTGTTGGCACCTTAGATGATCGTGGTTCACACTGTACAGGTGCAGCTGATTGCAGCTCTGTTAGAAACACCTCACTCCTGCTTTATTCCATATAGGTTGTTGCCCACTTTCAGAGCTTCCTTAAGGTGGATTTATTGGAGACCCTCTGGGATGGGTCTTGCTGAACCAGGCACATTTTATTCACCAGGCACATGTTGTTTCTCCCCATCTGCCGCCCCCAGCCATGCATGCTCCAGTCCTCCTGGCTGCTTGAACATGCCTGGTGCTGAGTGAGGTGGTGGGTGGCGCTTCTAGGCACTTCCAGAGTATCTCAGGTTTCTAGAATTTCTTTTCAGAAGCCTAACCCTCATATTCATTCATCTTTCTCTGAAGGTCGGTGATTGAGTCCTTTCTACTTGTAATCTTAACCTGGTGATCAGTGTTCTGACGTCTGTGGCTCTTCAGGGAGTGGAGGTGGGGACAGAGGAAGAGGAAGTAGTGCTGCTTTCATGGAAACCATGGGGGAAATCCATGGCAGTGGGACAGTGGCCTGTGGTAGCAAAGCATCCCCCCTGTATGGATAAGGACATCTGGGGGGCACTGGGCAGTGAGGCCATCATGGCTGGAACCCCCTTTGTCAGTCAAGCGGCTAGTGTGTGCCAGCTGTTCTGGAGGTGGCTTTGCTGATGTGAGTCTTAACTCTCAGCTAGATGGCCCCTTTTCCAAATGACCCTAGATATTAGCATTAGCACCATGGAAGGCATCTTCTCTGTCCTGCTCAGCCAGGCACGGTGTCAGAGATGACCCATGTGACTGCCCCGTACCTGGCACTGCCCTGTGACAGTGCAAATGGCTCATGAAATCCCAGAAAGCTGTGAAATGGCCTCTCCTGCTGGCGTGAAGGGAAGTAGTCTGAGTCTTGTGGAGGTCACTCAGGGCTCCTGGGGCCACATCACCACAGTAAAGACTGTGAGAATTACAGAAAGGCACCCCTTCTTCAAGGCTTCCCTGCGCGCAGGCACAGAGCTTGGCACATGGAGCACGGTTGCATTTCAGGCCCTGGTGCTCTGCCTGCAGGGCCCAGGCTGCGTTTCTCATCCATCTCCTGGAGGTAGTGGGTGAGTGTGCACTGTGTCGGCGGCGGCCAGATTGTGGTGGGCAGTGGTGTTTGGGGACTGACGGAGGGATGCTCCCCTTTGAAACTGGCGTGTGAGCAGATGCTCTGCCCTTGCGTTACTTAGGCCATTGGACCTGAAGTGTCGAGACAGGTGGAAGAGTTGTGGGCTCTCAGACCTGGAGGGTTGCTCTGGCATCTCGTTCACCCTGGTGCCTTAACCCCTTCTTCTGCAGTCCTCCAGCTGGTGGCACACGCCCTCAGTGATGGGACGTTTACCTTTGAAGCCAGTTCTTGTTTTTATGGAGCTGGTTCCCTGCCCTTGGGCCCTGGCGTTGCCCTCAGGGAGCCCCAGATGCTGCTGTGCCCTCTTGGGCAGGTGAGCTATTTTAAGCAGACTGAGGCCTTGGCTCAGAAGCATGTCTGCTGGGCAGTGTTGTCTCCGCGTTCTGGCAGCTGAGGGTTTGGTGAGTGAGGCTGCTCTGTGCATGGTGGGCTCTTCTGGAGTACAGAGTAGCCTATGGGGACCAGGAAAGGCCTTCCCAGATGTCAAGTGGGTGGGACAGCTGCCAGTCAAAAATATATATAGTCCTCATAGGTTGTGGAAGGGAGGTGGGTAGGTGTAGCCACAGGCTGGGCAGTGGACTGCCTATGATCCACGGGCTCCCTCACACCCTCTGGCTGGTCCCCTCAGTACACAGAGACACCGAGTAGTTTGGAAGAGCTCAAGGGACTTTTTAAGTCAGTGGTTGTTCCAGCTTAAAAAGGGCTTCTGCTGTCAGGAGGAGATGGAATGGCTTCTTCTTGTTCTCTGGTGATTTGACCTTATCTTTCCCCCATATACACACCTGTACTCACCTTCTTCCACAGGTGTTTGCATGTGTCTGTACCCAGGTACGTGCACCCACATGTAGATAGACGTGCTCATACATTTGTATCCCCCTTCCCCTCGATGTGTACACACCCACGAGGTATCTTCACACACTTCATACAGGCTCACACATCAACATAATGCACTGGGTGTGCCTGTGCAGCCACCCACAGATGTATAAATGGGCCTGGCAGCCTGGGGCTTCCCAGAGCTCAGATCCTCAGGCTCCGATCCACCCCATGCAGCTGTCCTGACCCTGGCTTTTACTGAATTTGGGCCTGGCTCTCACACACGTGTCTTAGACTGGGAAAAAGCTAAGTAGTCTGAGTCACAGCTCCTTGCTTGTACTTGGCTTCCTGGGCGGCAGAGCCAGTCTGGGTGGATGAGGCTCAAGATGTGGGACTCGAGGGCTTGCTGCCCTCGTGCCACCTGCACCATCTGGCTGGTTGCTGGGCTGCACATGGCAGACCTGCCTCCTGTGCATCAATGTGCCAAGCTGCCTACAGGCATCCCCATCCAGCCTAGCCCTGCTTGAGGGACTAGTCTCTTAGTCTTACCCTCCCAAATGAGAAGGAAAGCCTCAGCCTCTTTAAGTGGGAAAGGGGAGTAGGCTGGGTGAGCACCTCCTGTCTGCCACCTGGAGAGCCAGGAGCTGGCTTTGAACAGGTGGGGAGAGGCTAGAAAAGAGGGGAAGAGCTGCTGAGATCCTGATAAGGGGCTGGAGGGAGCAGGCCACTGGGTTTGAAGCCTGGCTGTGGTGATGCTCCTGCATGGGTTCTCCTGGATCTCAGTCAGGCCGCGCCTTGCTCAGGGGCCCACAGGGAGGGTCTCAGCATGTATTTATGGGGTCCGGGTTGGGTGGGAAGCCCTTGAGGGCAGCAGGGATCCCCACAGAAGATAAGCTCCCCAAGTGGTAGAAATATGGCTTAAGCCCACTTGTCTGGAGCTGGTTCTCTGATGGCAGCCTCTGCCAGGTGGGCTCACTGAAGCCCAGGAGCCATGGTGGGAGGGGATTAAAGGACCCTGGTGTGCTTGGAACAGGCTCTGGATGACAGCCTGGCACCTTGTGAGCAGGCCCTGAATACCCCTCTCTCCTCTGCAGTGTCTTAGATGATGAGGGCAGCAACCTGAGGCAGCAGAAGCTTGACCGGCAGGTGAGTGAGACCAGGGTGGAGGGAAGGGCAGTCAGCACTGGGATCTTGGCTGGGAATTGGGCTCGGATCTCCAAGGACTGTCCCCGTCCCCAGCGGCGATCCTGCCGGACAGAGAGAGGAGACCCACCTGGAAGAAGAGAGGGGCACTCTCTCTTTTACCAGCCCAGCATTAGCCCTGCTGCAGCATGCAGTACACAGGGCCAGTGCTGAGCAGGCCCCCAGGGTGACCACAGTTGGAGTATGTGATCCTGCCAGGGCAGCCTCCTGGCTGAGCTTCACCTCCCTTTCCTGGACCCTGAGTCTCAGGAAACCAGGTTACATGGGGCTTGGTCCAGAGTAGGCTGCATACCCGGTATGACCTCTGGAACCCAACCGAGCAAGCAGGGCCCTCTGCCTGGTCCCACTCTGGGACCCCCTCCCTGGTCTCAGAGGCTGGTCACCACCTTCTCAGGGCTCGCTAACCTCTGTTCCTCCCTGTGCCTCTGTAGCGGGCCCTGCTGGAGCAGAAGCAAAAGAAGAAGCGCCAGGAGCCCCTGATGGTGCAGGCCAATGCCGATGGGCGGCCCCGGAGCCGGCGGGCCCGGCAGTCGGAGGAGCAGGCCCCTCTGGTGGAGTCCTACCTCAGCAGCAGTGGCAGCACCAGCTACCAAGGTACACCCTGCCTGCTGCCCACTGGCCCGGGAGGGCCAGCCTGGGGAAGTGCTGCAGTGCACCTCCATCCCCAGCACTGCTCTGGGCAGGCCCTCAGAGATTCCTGCACCTGTACCTGTTAGTCTGTGCCCAGCCGGTGCAGAGGAGGAAAGTTGCTGCCAGTCCTGGCTCCCAGCCCCAGTGGACAACTGAGTGGGGCCAGTGGGACCTGTAGCCTGGGGCTCCCGCTCATGCCCAAGCTGTTGTCCCCTGAATCAGTTGCTGGGGCCGGAAAGTTAAAATTTTATGAATCCAGGTTTTTGACCCAGAGCGTTTCAGTGAGAGCAGGAGGCAGTGCTTCAGAACAGAGTCTGGCCTCCTGAGAAGATGCCCCCCCCCCCAATATTCTACTTCCTGAGAGGAATTCCTCTTGTCCTGCCCTAACCAACAAGGGTCCCTTGTGACAAGTGCCTGTTCCCTTCCCTCCATGGGTTTTCTGCACCCTCAGTTGGCCTGGCTCTGGCCTGCAGGTCCCCGTCCCTGGCTCATGGCTCCTTCAGAGCTTGGTGACCAGTAGCCTCCCTTCCTCACACACTCCAGTTGTCAGCAGAGCCCACTCGGGCAGTTCTCTGCAGCTCATCCTGGGAAGGGGATGGCTTTGTTGCGTCCCTGCACTCAGGACCTGCCTCCTGCGTAGGTTAGAGTCAGAGTACCCAAGGCCAGAAAGAGGGTTGGTCTTAGCCTGAAAGAGGGACTCCATTCAGACTCAGTCACCACTGCCTCCTGCTGGTGCTGGAAACCCAAGCCACTGCTCCATCAAATCACTGTTAGGAAGATGGCAGTTAGAAGCCACCCTGATGCTCCTCTACTGTGACTTCCTCATGACCTGGAGCCTCCAGCCACATCGAACTAGTTGCCTCACTTCAGGGCTGACCTTTTTCACCTAACTCCTGGGACTTCTCCCATTTTCCTGTTTCATAGCATCTGAGGTTCCTCTTCTCTCTGCTGCACTAGCCCAGCCTTTAGCTCCCTGGGTCCCCTCATCTTTGCCTTGGAGGGCAATGATTGAATCTTACTTGTCTACTGCCCAAACTGTGGGTTGGCACACCATATGAGCTCAGTACTCCCTTTGTATGCTCACACCCTCTGAGGAAATCCATTTTGTTTCTAATAATAAAGGGTGCCTTTGAGCACTTCCCACAGGCTAAGCAGGGTGCTAGGCACTTTACCTGCATTGTCTCATTTAATTTTCACAGTAACTCATTATCTCCATATGATCCATAGGGAGATGGCATCTCGGGTTCAGTGACTTGCCTATGGTCTACTGCTAGCGAGCGACAGGGCTAGAATTTGAACCCAAGCCTATCTGACTTCCAAGGATCTTTCTACCATATTGTGCTGCCTGCCTGATAAAAAGCTTCTTCATGGTAATTCCCCTACATGTGCCTCAGCTGAGCACTGGGGGCTACACTTGGTATGTCTGTACTCCACCTGAGAGGCCCTTCAGAGGAGGAGGACAGGGACCTCAGCCCAGCTCTGTGTCTCAGAGAGGCAGTCCCAGCTCCTCCTCTCAGACTGGGCCTTGGCCCCACCCTTTCTTGGCAGCTCCCTCCTCATACTTCCTCTGTGAGTGCTGTCCCAGCAGAGAAGGCTCCTGCCTTCTGGGTCCTGTGGAACTGGCTTGCTGCCATGCGGGCATCACAGCCCCACCCGGCTCTGCCCTGCCTGGCACGTGACTGTCTGAGGCTGTGTGTAGAGTAGAAGCCTACTCGCATGATTTTGGACCCTGCTGATTTGTGCCAGAGGCAAACATCTCACGGATGTTGTTATTTTGGCAGGTTTTTCTTGAACGTGGGCTCTGTGCCAGGGCGGTTGTCAGGCTACAGAAAGAATGCAGTAAGAGAAGTAGCACCTCTGGGGAGGTGGATGACCAGAAGGCCAAAGACAGTTTCTGGTCATTGCCACTACTGGTCACCTTGCTCACTGTGTGACTGTGGGCAAGACACTTATTCTCTCTGGGTCTGTTCTTCCCCTTTAAGATAAGGAAAATTCTCTTGGCCTCAGGGGTTTGAAAAATTGAAGTAGCCATGGTATGTCCAGAGTCTAAAAGCAGGGATTACTGTTCCCTGCTGACATTGCAGACCAAGCTGGTGTCCAGGGGCCCTCCCTACAGAGGACATTTGAACTTGTGACATTTGGGCTTCTGTAGGGTGCAAGTGGCATAGTCTTTGTCCAGCTCACAGTGGTGATCTCAGCCCCCAAAGCCCTGGGGAGGCTGCTGCACACGTGGCTGACTGACCTGGGGCTTGGTGATTCTGAGACCACCCTTACCACCACCACCTCCTGCGGCATTAGCTGCCTTCTGCTCTGCCCTCTGCTGGCTCTTGGTGTGAAATACAAAGGGATTATTCCTAGAGGAAGATAAGGGAGTTTGATATAAGTCAGCACTGATGCTTTACCCCAGTAAACATGCTTGGACTCCGACCCACTGACCCTGCTCATTCATGTTATGAGTTAATTCATTTCACTAACATTTATTGGGACCTACTGTGTGTCAGGCCCTGGATTAGAGGCTGGGGGCGGGGCCCAGCATGAGTGCAAACAGGCGTGGTCTTTGCCATCTCCTGGACGTTACAGCCCAGGAGGGGACAGAAAGTTTCACAGATGGTCATGGGTTCTCTGAGTGCATGACAGATCTCATTTGCAGATTGGGGTTGTCAGGAAAGACTCCCTGAGGAAAGGATACTGGAGCTGAAATTTGCAGGATGAGTGGAAGTTAATCAGACAAAGGGGGTAGTGAGGGAAGTCCAGGCAGTGGTAATAGCTAGCATATGAGCCCTGTGGCAAGAGGGAGTCCAGGATGTGCAAGGCACAGACAGAGCCTGGGTGGCTGGCACTCATGGCACCTGGGGTCCGGGAGTGTGAGGTAGGCCAAGGGGAAGGGAAATGGAGGAGCCAGACATGCAGGGGAATGTTGGTCTTCATCTTAAGAGTAGTTGGAAGTCACTCAGGATTTCTGGGCAGATTTGTGCAGTTCTGATGTGTGCAGGATTTGAGGCCACCAGCTATGATTCTTTTTTTTTTTTAATTTTTTTTTTTTATTGTATTTTAGGTGAGGGTTTACAGAACAAATACTTTCTCATTACACAGTCAGTACACATATTGTTTTATGACATTGGTTAACAACCCCAGAACATGTCAACACTCTCCCGTCTCGACCTTGGAGGACCTTTTTTTTTTTTTTTGGTGAAAATATACTTAGCCAAAGATACACTACTTCAAAAATTTCTACATGTACGATTCAGTGACATCGATTACGTTCTTCCAGTTGTGCTGCTATTCTCGCTTCAGATGAAGGTTTACAGAACAGAATAGTTTCTCCTTAAACAGTTAGTACACATATTGCCCTATGACAATGGTTAACAACCCCCCTACATGTCAACACTGTCCTTACTCAACCTTCGGTTCCCTATCATCGGCTTTCCTGTCCCCTTCTGCCTTCTAGTCCTTGTCCCTGGACTGCTGTCCAGCTTTGAGTCTTGGTGTCACTGTTGGTGTATGCAACTCCTTTTACACCAGCCGTTTATTCCTTAGGGTGCTTCCCCACCCCAGGCTCCCATGGTCTCATCCCATGAGGGCCCCGGGAGGGTCCTCAGAGTGCTTGCTTGCCCTACTTATGGTTTCTTTCAGGAGATGCAGCTTTTCTGTCTTCATCTACTGTCTTGGATGGCCCACATTCTCACACTCCCTCCTGCTGCCCAGGCTCAGAACAACTTGCTAGCCCAGAGCTTTGATTGCCTGCTTCTTTTAACTTTATCTGACTGAGCTGGAGGTGCCACCTCCTCCCACCTCAGGCCTGCCCGGGCACCTTGGCTAGTAGAGATGAGTGGGGCCCTGGCTTTGTGGGTCAGGGAGGTGGTCCAGAGGCCTTGGGGACTTGGGGGAGGGACTGGGAGATGCTGTGCTGAAGAGCATGTTCGAGTTGGAGCTCTGGTCTCACGGTGCCATCTCTCTCTCTTGTCTTGGGTTTTCTCCTGAGCAGTTCAGGAGGCCGACTCACTTGCCAGTGTGCAGCTGGGAGCTGCCCAACCAACAGCACCAGCCTCAGCCAAAAGAACCAAGGCAGCAGCCGCAGCGGGGGGCCAGGGTGGGGCCTCTAAAAAGGAGAAGAAGACGAAGCACAAAGGTTAGCTTGCCTTCCCTACAGCCCTCCCTACTGTAGGGTCACGGGGAGGCTCTCTCCCCAGACTTCGAGGTGAGGGACAGGGAGGGTGGCCTCAGTGAAGACCCTGACTGGCATGCAGGGTCCCCACACAGCTGGCTCACAGGCCTTGTCTAACTCGAGGATGTGTAGGCTGACCTGTAGGTGTGGGCAGGCCCTCCATACCACGAGGAAGTGAAGTCCAGCTCTGGTGTGGCCCAGATTCCATTCTTAACCTGAGTGCCCTCCACCCTGAACCCATGAGGGTCTCACCAGTCTGGGCCAGGATGCTTCCTTCAGCGGTGGCCTCTCCTCCTCCCAGGCAGTCTGCCCCATTCTTGTGTAGTGCTCGCTGTTCCTCATAATGTGGGCTTCCCTCCACTCCCCACCCTGGTCCTGATTCTACCCTCTGGGCCCACAGACCAGTCTGTTCCTTCTGCTCCTGTCTCCAGAAAAAGACCCCCAGAGATCCAGGACACGGACTGTGGCCCCTGCCCTGAGTCCTGTCTCTGCTGGTCAGACATCCCATTTTATCAAGCCTTGCTCAGGGAAATGATTTGCAGGCTTTGGGTCACAGATGGACAGTGGTGTGTCAGGCCTGCAGGCTTTGGGAGCTGATTGTAGCATTCTGGGCACAGGCTGACCAACCAGGGTTGCTGCCACATGTGTGGTCCCGGCCTTGGTTCTGTTACTGAAGCTGCGGCGACTTGGGCAGGAAGGTAGACATGGGAGGTGCTCCACTTGGGAAGGCGAGTGTATGTCAACCTCAGCCTTTTTCAAGATGCCTGTATGTGTGAACTGTTCTAATGGTGCGTGTGAGTTACTGTGTTGTGTGTGTGCTCGTCTGTGTGAGAGAGAACACTAGCATTGAGAACTTGCATCTGGCCATGTCTGTGAAAGATCATTGGCCTCAGCTATGGTCTGGATCGATCTCTGTTCTCCATCTTGTTTTTTCCACTGAGCACTTGGTTCGTTAGGTGACTGCTGTCTGCCTTAAGGGATGTGAGGCATTTCAAACCAGTCCTTGGTGGTTAATTTGGGGAACAGCTGAAGAAATGAAGCTTATATCCCTTCATAGCTTACTGATCATTAACAGGCTGAAAACAGTTGTTAGTTTTTTAAAACTCAGTTTTACAAATAAAGTTTTGCAGAGGGCCCCCCTCTCATCCCTCATCCTTCGTGGACTTCTGAGAACGCAGGCGCAGGCCCTCCCCCACCCCCCTGGACGGGACTCAGGAGTGTCCGTGGCCTGCAGGCACTGGTGGGCAAGCAGCACTGGCAGAAGACAAGTCTGAGGCCCGAGGCCCCGTGCAGATCCTGACTGTGGGCCAGTCAGACCACGCCCAGGACGCGGGGGAGACGGCAGCTGGTGGGGGCACGCAGCCCAGCGGGCAGGACCTCCGTGCCATGATGCAGAGGAAGGGTGAGCCCCGCGGGGGCCCAGTGACTCCCCTGAACCATAGTCCTAGGTTCCCAGATACACTCTTCTCCAGGAGCAGGGCCTTCCTGTGTGTGGCCCAGCCCTACAGCAGTGGTAGGAGGCACACTTAGAGACAAATGAGGAACTTTTGGGCAGGGCCCCTGACCAGGCCGAGTTAAGGAAAAGCAGTGTGAACTGGGGTGACCAGCACACAGCCCAGCCCTTCTTCCCCACCCTTATCTCCTGTCCCCACGGCAGCCCAGGTTTGAGGGCAGATGTCCTTTCGCATCAGTTCCACAGAAGAAGCTCCTTTTGCAAAGAGTTCCCATGTGTCTGCTAGGCTGGGTGGAGCAGGGCCAGGAGGCCAAGAGGCAGGGCAGATCCTCCTTCGAAACCTGCTCCTGTGACAGTTGCTCCACCGTGAACCCTGCCCGAGGGAGCCCCTGGCATGAGTGGCAGAGGGAAAGAAGCCTGGCAGTGCCACCCACATTCTAAGGAATCTGATCAGGGAAGGCTTTCTAGAGACAGGGCTGTTGAGGCAACACAGAGACGGAGATGGCATTCTGGGTGGGGAGAACAGGGCAGACAAAGGCTCCAATGAGGGGTCAGCGGGCCCTGCATGCTAGGCTGAGGAAGAAGTTCGGCCTTTTCCCAAGCAGGATTCCATGGCCTATGCCAGCCAAGGCCTCTTGTAGACCTGAGGTTAGAAATGGGAGGTTTCCAGTGCAGGGCTACCTTAATATAGGCCTTGATACACGGGAGACAGGGGCAATGTGATTGTAGAGAGGAGGGAGCTGTGGGAGGGACTGAGCAGAAGCTGGGGGGTGGGGGTGGGGGGCATATCATGAGGATCGTGACCAGCCCCAGCCTATGGGTGCACGTGAAAGAATGGGTATGTCCTTGTGTATATCTGTGTTAATGTAGGCGTGTACATAACAGCTCTGTGTGTCTGTCTGTCTGGGTACATGTGAGCCTGCATCTGTGAGTGTCTGTCTGTTGGGTATGTACATGTGACCATGTATATTTCTGGCATAGACACCTCCTCACTCCTCCTTTCTGCTCCTTTGCCTGGCCCAGGCATCTCCAGCAGCATGAGCTTTGACGAGGAAGAGGAGGATGAGGATGAGAACAGCTCTAGCTCCTCCCAGTTAAACAGCAACACTCGCCCCAGCTCTGCCACTAGCAGGAAGTCCGTCAGGGTGAGTGAGGAGCTCTCCTGCAGAGCAGGAGGTTGGACGGTCATCCAGGTTGGAAGTGGAGTGGTGTGTGAAGAAATAATGGGGAGTTGGCTTTCCTGGAGACGGGCTGGACCCAGAGGCCTTTCAGGAGCTTCTGCTCTCCTTCTCTTCCATCCTGCATCCCAATCTCTTCAGCCATACCAGGAGGGTGGGGGGAGCTGGAATTGGACAGGATGACGTCTGAGAATCTGCCCACGACCCTGTCCCCACTCCCAGGACTGCTAAGGGTGAGGGAAGAGCGGGGGAGATAGCCCCAGACCTCAGGATGGCCAGGCCCACATCCCGGAGATCCCTCCCTGTCTTCCCCACCATGGGGCAGCTTTGGATTCCAGACCACCAGATCAGCTGCTCAGAGTCCCTGGGGCTCAGGCTCCTACTCTCCACTCTGCAGGAGGCAGCCTCAGCCCCTAGCCCAACAGCCCCAGAGCCACCAGTGGATATTGAGGTCCAGGATCTTGAGGAGTTCGCGCTGAGGCCAGCCCCCCAGGGTATCACCATCAAGTGCCGCATCACGCGGGACAAGAAGGGGATGGACCGGGGGATGTACCCCACCTACTTTCTGCATATGGACCGTGAGGATGGAAAGAAGGTGAGGTTGGCCTGTGCCTGCTGTCTCACCTAGGCAGGTTTGAGGTCCTAGGGGCTGGAAGGTGACTGGAAGCCACAGATCCAACATGACCTTTCTATTCCCCAAAGAAACGAAAGCCTCCATGCCTGGTCAGTGCATACATGTGTGTGCACATATATGCGTTCGGGAGCTGAAGCAAGGGAGAGTCACTCGTGTGAGTGTGGGTGTATGCGTGGCACCCATGATTGTGTGTAGACCAGAAGCTGGGTCTGGAACGTGACCTTGCTCCACTCCCCAAGGTGTTCCTCCTGGCGGGAAGGAAGAGAAAGAAGAGTAAAACTTCCAATTACCTCATCTCTGTGGACCCAACAGACTTGTCTCGAGGAGGGGACAGCTACATCGGGAAACTGCGGTACGAGCACTCCCCCAGGAAGCAGATGGGGGTGGGAAGGAGGGGTGGGGTCAGGTTCTTGGTAGAAGGCATCTCCTGTCCCTGAAGGAGATCTAGGCCAGAGTCTCAGGATCCTCTCCCAAGATCCTCTCTATCCATCAGATCCAGCCATAAGTAAGGCCTGTGCCCAACGTAGAGCCACATTTGGAGCTGGGTCTCACACACCTTACCCTAGGCTGTTGTCAGGCAGGTGGGAGGGAGCAAGCCCACCAAGAGCGGAAGATCAAACCCCAGAATGTGATTGACGATTTAGGCCACCATGGAAGAGCTGCCTTGCTTCCATGATCTGTGCACGGGGCAGGGCTGAGAGTGGGCCCTTGAGAGAAGAGTCACAGCAGCCTTGGGGTGGGGGTAGAGGGGGAGGCCCTGAGCTGGGCCTCAAGGAATAGGTGGGGTTTGCCAAGGAACAGAGTGCCAGATCGGGGGAGTGTAAATAAAGCTTAGAGGTAAGGAGCTAAAGCTGGAGATGGAACTCAAGCAAGATGAGGCTGGACTAAGAATCACAGGCTGGATGGGACAGGGGAGATCATCTCATCCACTCTCCATTGGGTGCTGAATCCCCTCTACAGCCTTGCCAAATGCCATTCAGTTTGCTCACCTCCATGAAGGGAGCATATTTGTTCTCCCAGGGAAGCCTGTGGAACCCAGATATACCTTCCTGAATTTCGCTCACTGAACCAAGATGCTCTTTGAGTCATCTCAGAGCAAGTCCAGGCCTTCTGCCCTTGAAGTCCCTTCAAAGATGTGAATTCAGTGAGCATTGTGCCCACTGGCCCACCCCAGAATGCCTTGCAGGCTTCTCATAGGATAGACTATGAGCTGCACCCTGCCATGGGGCGGAGAACATATGACCTCTACTGATTGTGCCTTTCCTTCAGGTCCAACCTGATGGGCACCAAGTTTACCGTTTATGACAATGGAATCAACCCTCAGAAGACATCATCCTCTACTTCAGAAAGTGGAACTTTGCGTCAAGAGCTGGCAGCTGTGTGCTACGTGAGTCCTGGGTTCCTGTCTCTGGTCTCCAAGTTAGACTGAAATCTAGGACTGGCTACCTGATCTGGGGACTATCCCATCTATCTTGGTGGGTAGCTAAGGCTGGGTGGAGAGGGGCAGCCCTCTGGTGTGGCCCATACCTGGGACAGGGAACCCCAGGCCCTCCTCCTGTCTTCAAGGCTCAGACTACCTGCCTGGGGAGGTCCAGGAACCAGGCCTGGCACTATGCAGTCCAGCCAAGGAACTTCCTGGAAAAGAAGCAGGCTGCCCAGATTCTTGTCCGTGCATCCCTCACATCATTCCTCCAGTACACCAGGTCCTGTATAGATTACAAGCCCCTTTGCATAATCATCTTACTGAATGTTCATGACAGCCTAAGAACTAGATCCTATTGTATCATGTATCTGAGGAAACTGAAGCTCAGAGGTTGGGTCACTTGCCAGTGTCACACAGCTCATAAATGACCGACTGGAATATAAATATGGAGACATTATCCACATTGCTGAACCTCAGTTACTTCATTTTAAAAAGAAAGGTTTGGTGCCCTTCCAGCCTTAGCGTGGGTGTTTCTTGGGACCAATTGGAAATCCGGCTATTTTGTATGAGCCAATGGTGCCACCTGCTGGTCAACTTTGAGGAGGCAGCCTGAATGTTTTCTTCAGCAAATGCTGAGCCCCAACTGTGTATTCCAGGCACTGTTTGAGGCACTGAGGATACAGTAGTGAACAAAACAGACGTAATAAATTTCTACCCTTATGGAACTTACCCCTAGTTGGGCAGACAATTTATAAAACACACACAGAAGTAAAATAAAGAATCTGGTCCTGAAGAATGCTAAGAAGGTAAAAATAAAGGTGGGAAGGGGATATAAAGTGTCAAGGTGTGTGTGAGATTTGGGGAGGGAGAGCAGGGCAGGCATCCCTGAGGTAACTCGAGTGAAGAGCAGACAGAAGTGAAAGCCAGCCATGTAGATGTCCGGGGGAAGGCAGAGGGAGCAGTGAGGGCAGGAGTGGCTGGCATGTTGGAGGAATAGCGAGAGGGCAGAGTGATGCAGGGGAGGGTCAGTGGCGAGGAGAGAGGAAATGGGGGCTGTATCATGTAAGGCCTTGGAGTCAAAGGAACATCTTCAGCTTTTGCTCTGGGTGAGATGGGATGCAGAGGAGGAGAAAATGACCTGACGTATATTTTAACAGGGCCATTAGCTGCTATGTTAAGAACAGATGGCAGGGAGAAGGGGCTAGGGGCCAATGACAAAAACAAGGAGTCCAGTTAAAGACTGTTACAGTGATCTTGGTGAGAAATGGTGGTGAAAAGTGGTCAAATTCTAGATACAATTTGAAGGTAGAGCTGACGGAATTTGCTAATGGATAGAAGTAGGGTGAGAGAGAGAGGGAGGAATCAAGGATGGTTCCACATAGTTTGCCTGAGCAGAGGGAAGAATTGAGTTGCCATTAACTGAGGCGAGGAAGACTGTAAGGAGCTAGTTTTGGCATCGTGGCCATCAGGAGCTCAATTCTGGACATGCTGAGTTAGAGATGTTATATTACACATTCAAGTAGAGATGTTGAAAACTAGCTCAGCTCTATTTCCTTCTCCACCTCATTATCTCCAGTAGGTGAGTAGGCTCTCTCTCTGATAAATGCTAAGATAAAAATAAAGGTGGGAAGGGGGATATGAAGTGTCAAGGTGTGTGTGAAATTTTAGGAAGGAGGGTAGGGCAAGCCTCCCTGAGGTAACTCGAGTAAAGGGTTGAGTTCTCTCTATTTCCCAGGAGACAAACGTCTTAGGCTTCAAGGGGCCACGGAAGATGAGTGTGATTGTCCCAGGCATGAACATGGTTCACGAGAGAGTCTCCATCCGGCCCCGCAACGTGAGTCTCTTTCCCACCCTCCCCCCTTTCCCATCTTCCTAGCCTCTGCATGAGCTTCTGAGGGCAGAACTCCAGCTGGTGTATGTATGTGTAGGAGATACAATGGGAGAAGCCCTGGAGGCCCAGGGAAATCTAAGGATCCCCATCCCTGGGACAGATCCCTCTTTGGGGTGGTCATGGTGCCAAGGCCTGGGCCTGGCTCAGGTGAGTCTACCCTCTCAGGAGCATGAGACACTACTAGCACGTTGGCAGAACAAGAACACGGAAACTATCATCGAGCTGCAAAACAAGACACCTGTCTGGAATGACGACACACAGTCCTATGTACTCAACTTCCATGGGCGTGTCACGCAGGCCTCCGTAAAGAACTTCCAGATCATCCATGGCAATGATCGTGAGTGTTTCTGCCCCAGCTCATAATACCTGTGGCCGTTAGCTCAAGGTTCAGCTCACCTAGCCCTGCCCATATAGGCTAGAGCTTAAGGAAGCGGGCTGCATGGCTTAGATTAGATGTAAAGAGCTTTCTAACCATAATGGTTGGGTGGCTGTAGAAGGACCTTCTTTGGAGCCCTGGCCCTAGAGTCTGTGCACTCAGCAGAATCTCAGGCCCAGGAACCCCTTTTGAATGAACTTTTCCTCTTTGTCCCTGTCTCCTGGTGTTTGTACCCATCTTTCTTTCTCCTTTTCCATCTACCGCCTCTCTCCTGCCATGTCTCCCATTGAACTGTTTTCCCTCCTTTGGGATTCCCTTGTATCTCTGCTTCTTGCTTTCCCTTCCCTTTTGTGGTTTGGGTGTCTGTCCTTCCCTATCTCCACCATCGCTACTCTGCCCTGTTTTTCTCTCTCTGTCCGTCCCTGGCCATGCTTGTGCCTGGCCCCAGCGGATTACATCGTGATGCAGTTTGGCCGAGTAGCAGAGGATGTGTTCACCATGGATTACAACTACCCGCTGTGTGCACTGCAGGCCTTTGCTATTGCCCTGTCCAGCTTCGACAGCAAGCTGGCCTGCGAGTAGAGGCTTCCTCGTGCCCTTTGGGGTTCCTCAGCCTAGAGTGGAGCTTGCCTGCCTGCCTGCGTGCCCGCGCACAGAGACAGCCCCGCCTACCCTTTGTACATAGGCCTCCTGCCAGATGAGTCTTTGGCTCTGAGCAGGCTCCTCTGCCCCTGCAGCTGAGGCAGGGGAATGGGAGTGAGTGGTGGGTGGGTGTGAAGGGACCAGAGTGAATTCCTTCTGTGCCCCACAATCAGCAGCCCCCCCACCCCTCCTGGGTTAGCATCCTGCTGCAGCCGTGTTTGCCAGGCTGGGCAACCTCTTCAGCTAGGAAAGCAGGGTGAGTTGTCGAGGGAGAGGAAGCACAATACAGGGCTGCTGTGGCCCAGCCATCCACTCAGCCCAGGAGTCAGATGACAGCAGATGCCCCAACAGTGAGGGGCATGGTATGTGTTTGTGTGTGTGTGTGTGTGTGTGTGTATGTATGTATGTGTGCGTGTGGGGCTCATCAACTTCACATAGCCAAGGGCTCAGTGGCCAGGCCTGGCTCTTTGGTTTCCTGCCTGGTGTTGAGGCTCTGAGCAATTCAAGAGTCCAGGCAAGCCCCTTACAACTGTAGAAGGCCCCCTAACTTCAGAGGGTCCCAGCCAGGCCTGGGAGAAGTTAGGATCATAGTGACAGGGTAGGGGTTTGGAGAGAAGGTGAGTGGCAGGACCTTGCCAGGATTGCAGGGGCCTGGCTGTCTCTGGGCTGTGGGACTTGGCTGTGGGGCCTATGGTTCGAGCTCACTTGGTTTCTCCAAGTTTGCTCTGCACTGGCAGGGGCAATGGGAATTGGCCCTCAAGATCAGATGTCTCAGTGGCAGGGCATGCTGGACAGGCTCAGCATACAGGAGGTGCAGGAAACAGGCTCCCTGGGTCCTGCCCCAGGAGGTCCCTGCTGAGCAGCCCCAGCTATACCGAGGAAACATAGGTGAGGTCTAGGTCACTAGCCCCAGACTGCACACAGCTAAGCATGCCTGGGACTCTTAATGGCAAAGGGCCATTCCTTAGCCGTGACATGGTCCAAGAAGAATTTCTCTGGAAAGATCCAGCTCTGGGTGCTCTTGCCTGTGCTTCAGCTCCCACTGCTGTCAGCCTGGGTCATGGTTGGTGAGGGCTTCAGAGTGTGGCTTTTGAAGGTGGTAGGGCTTCTGTGTGTAGTTCTTCTTGGGTGGGAATGGGACGGCGAGGAGAGCAGGGAGTAGTTTAGAACCACAAAAGTTCAGATGTTACAGGACTCTTAGAAACCAGCTAGTACAAGCCCATCACTTTAGGTGTCACACCTAGAAAATGGGACTTCCCCAGGGTCACCTAGCTGGTTAGTGGCAGAGTTCAGAACCTCAAGCTCCCTTGTTTTCATTGTCCCCACCGTCCCCCATGAAACTGGTATCTTCAGCTCTCTGGCCTTCCTGAGGCCCAGTCTGCATGCCCTCCCCTTTTCCCTGTTTCAGGAGACTTAGAAATGTCAGAGTTGATGTGTAAAATTGAAACCATTTCAGTCATTCTGATCAGGATTGGCCTGTGCCTGACCCCTCCATGAGAGCTGTTCAGCCGTGAACAGACCTTAGCGAGCCTGCTGCATGTTTCTCTGTTTAGATGTGGTAGATAGGGTGTGAGTGTTGCAGGACTGAGCCTGGTCTCTCCCTCCAGTGCCGTACGTCTCCTTGGATGGCATCATCCACGCTACAGGCTTGGGTCTTCTAAGCTCTTGCCCGTTTATCATTTGCCCTAGAAGAGCCTTCTTGCCCCGATGGAGGTCAGAAGTCAGTGGAAAGCAAGCAGGAGTTGTACCTTGTTATAGAGCAGATGTGCTTGGGAAGGCTAAGTAGAAATTGATTTTTTTTTTTTTTAAATAAAAATCGTATTTTAAACATGTGAGACTCTGTAGGTGAAGGAGTTGTTTTGACTCCTTAAATGGAAGTAGTATGCTCTCATTTCTTCGTAATCCAGGTTTTGCTATGTTGAGTGCTTAAAGCAAGGCACACCTGTGCTAGCATGGATCTGCTCACATCGCAGACAGACTTCTCTGAGAGAGACCTCTCCAGTGATCTAGCTTTTTTTTTTAAAAAAAAAAAAACATGATCTAGTTTCTAGACAACTCTTGGGGGCCATTTTGAGGACACTAGAAGTTTCTGTGCTGTGGCTGATCCATTCCCTAGTGAAATACTGTGGTGTCATCCTCCTTTCCACAGTCCCAGTTTGGCCTTCCTTCCCTAACCAATGCGAAGAGACCTGCTGACATGTAAGTTGATGGAAACTCAGTGATTGCCAAGGTCAAGGCAGGCTGTTTCTCTGGGTCTAGAATTTTAAGGTAGAACAGGCTGATTTTGGATCCTAGTGGCAGTAGGATCCTGGTCATAGATTGGAAAAATCAGAAGCACAATGGAAAATTCTTGGCCTTTGCTTTAACCCTAGAACACAGAAGAGGGGGTTGACTGGGTATTTTGGTACACTTTAGGGTCAGGAAATGTGGATCCTGGGCTCTCCAGCACGGACTTGGAGAAGGGTAGCCTCGGCAACAAAATCCTCTGTTGCATGTTGAGTCATGAGCAGGAGCAGCTGAGTCACCTGCTCGAGACCCAGCCTAGCAAGGTCTGTTCTTAAGACGTCACTCCTGATGATGTTGGTTTTCTCTGACCGTTGGCCCCGCAGCCATGGGCCCAGGCTCCTAAAGCTTATGGGGCCCTAGAGACGACCTGGGCTCAGCCTCTCCTACATCAAAAGTTCTTGCCCTCCACAGCCTCTGCCCAGACAGTCCTGGGTTGGGCAGGGAACTCGGTGACTGAATGAGCAGTCCCTAAGGGTGTTGGGCGACTGGCACCTTAGGCAGCTTCTCTGTAACTGCTGCTGGCTCTATAGCTCCTCCTGGGGCCACACCCCAAAACTCTACACCCTCTGCCCCAAAACAGTTCTGCAGAGTGGTGAAGTTAACTTTCCCAACTCTTCTCCAATTCTAGCTTTTCTTTACTTCTGGCTCCAAGGTGCTCTGTGTCTGTCTGTGTGTCTGTCTGTGTGTCTGTGTGTATTTGGGGAAAAGGGCAATCTGCAAACAATCAACTGAGGTTTCTTAGTATCATATTTCTAAGGATAAGGAAAGGAATAAGGATGTAGGTATGATCCCCTGTGGATTTTGTTCATTCATTTCATGCTCTTTGAACAGAAAGTTTATCTGGAAAAGTACCAGCTTGTTCTCCCAGGGTTCTGACTGGGAGTACACTGTCCAAGAAAGTTAGTTTTTCACTTTCCACTCTGAATTACCTAAAGAAATCAGTGTGTCGCATGCTTTTGGATGAATTTGAACATAATCTAGTGAATGTGCCTTAAAAATCAAGACACTAGTTCAGAGGAAGCACGTGAGGTCCAGACCCATGATGAGGATGGGCGTTGGAAGCCAGGGAGTGTGGTCATCACAGGCTAGAAGAGGACGTTTGGAGCTTGCTTCCTGCGGTGACAAGTAAGACAACAATAACTGTAGAAGCAGCAATTTTTCTTCACTCTGGAAATAGCAGTGTGTTTACCTGAGGTGGTTCTAAACGTAACGTGCAACAGTGGTGACTTCAAACTAAAAGGCCCGTGCTTCCCTCACAATGGGGTCTGCAGCGAAGGGAGACGCTGGGAGAGCCATGTCCATGGCTATTATGGAAGCACAAAGTCCACCTCCTGGGTGGAGTCCCTGGTTTTCCCTCACTGCAGTAACACTGGCCCTCCCTGCTCTCCAATTCCTCTCACCCCAGCTGCAACACCTTGTGTGATCTGCCAGGTGGCCCTTAGAGCACACTTTTCCAGATAGCTGAATGAGTCTGCTTTCTTGTGGGGCTAAGCACTGTGCTTGGCGCCTGACTCCCCTGCCCTGGGACCTGGCTTATGGGCCTGTGGCAGCTCCCAGGAACAGGCCAAGGGATGGGATCTTGTTTGAATTTATTGGCCACCTGTTCTTAGGTACCTCCAATTTGCAATTTTTTTGTCATCTCCGGATACAGGGGAGGGGGAGAGCAGAAGTATTGGGACAGGTTTAATTTTTGAATTTTCTAGCCAAGTTGAGAGGCAAGTTGGTCTTAGAGAAAGCACTACTCTACTTAGTGGCCATGTGATTTTGAGCAAACCATGTAATCTTTCGAGGTCTGTTTTCTCAACTACAAAATAAGGTTGGTCTATAAAGCTGCAGTTGGATTCAGGGTGAATGAAAGTTAATCCTTGCTTTCATCACTACTTTTTCGAGCTCATCACTGTGCCTTTTTCTTTTCTAAGAAAGACATCACACCCCTCTCCTCCTGTTCTACTGTCCCTCTCTCCCCCTACCAAGGTCCAGGTGGAGCTGGAGATTTAGGATGAGATCGAGTTTCCCACAGGGCAACTTGGAGTGACTTAGAAAGGGAAGCCTGACTCTGCCTCTTTAATCCTGCATTTGGTGACAAAGGGGACTTGATCAGGATGGGTGACGTTTCTCTTGCTGGGGACACACATTTAGCCAGTTTTCATAATGCCTAGAATGTGTATGTCTATTTGCACAAGATTGTCTTTTCCTATTTTCGAGTGGTCAGACATTTTATTTTTGCTCAAAATTATCTGGAGTTTTAGACAAACTTGCAAAACTGTGCTTTTATTAAGTGACTTTTTGAATAAACTCTTTGGTATTCTGGAGCAAATGTATTTATTTATTGGTATGTGCAATGACAAACTTGGTAATTTCCCATGTTGACGTTATGTATGTTGTAGAATTTGGTGTTTGTCTAAGTACAAACCATATACCAACAAATTAAACTTGAATTGTTTCAACACTGCTGCGTACTTTTTTTTTTTTTCCATAGAAAGAGAAAAACATGCTTGGAAATCTTTTTTTTTTTTTTTGTTCTGTGGCAGAACTGAAGTCAAAAGGACAAGAGGCTGCAGTTGTGGCTGGAAGCAGACATGAAAGCTAGTGGTCTGATCCTGAGGGAGGAGGTCAAAACTAAAATTACCAAGAGACTGCAGGGCCCTGTGCCCTGGGCCATTCCTGGCAGTCTGGCTGGCCTTGGAAGGTGTCAGGTGTGACACAGCAGCACAGGAGCTGATGTACAGAGTGATACGCTGTTGGCGATTGGTGACAGCTGTCATTGAGCACCTCCCTCATGCTTGACCTTTACAAAGAGTATCTCAGTTAATTCTAACAGTCCTGCAAGGTGGGTTATAGTCCCAATTCATAAATGAGAAAAATGGTGCTTGGAGAAGTTAAGAAATGAACCATGAAAGGGGAGAAATTGTTTTTATTTTGCATAAGGGGGAAAGGTAAAGTACATGTTAGATTTGTATAAAAATGGTCAAGCCAAAACCATATGGATACTTCATTTATGTTTTTTCTCAATACTGCTACATAGCTGAAGTACTAGATTTTTCTTCAGAAATAGTCTGGGTTAAGAGTGTGGTTAATAAGTAGGGTTTGTTTATTTATCTCAGATTTAGAGTTTTTACATGACCAAGAGCATTTCCTACCTGAACCATGGCCTAGCTCCTGTGGGAAATAGCATACATAATCAGGACATCACTAAAAAGTAAAGAGGGTTTTGTTTCATTTTGCTTGTTCTTGTTTGTTAATGGTCAGGTTGAAGACAGCTCTTTTACATGGCACAGAGAGGGTGATCATATGCCCAGGATAGTGCTGGTTTATCCCCATTGCCTTGGCATATTATTATCAAAGCTCCCTTTTCCCAAACTGTCCCAGTTTAGACCATAAGTTATTTAGTCACCCAAACAATAGTGCAGAGAATGGTTCTCACGGGTCATCTCTTCTAGAGGCCAAATATGCCTCCAACTCCTCAGCACACTTCCCTGGGTCCAGCTTCTAGAGCTCACGCTTCACTAGTCATAAAGCTAACAAGATGCCTTCCTTGTGGTCCTATTGTGACCAGGAAAGAGGATCTCCTGGCTGGACCACCCACCTGATGTGCCAAGCTGGTGGTCCAGTGGTTTTCCAGGACGATCTATGCCCAGAAGTATGACTGTGTGCACTGCCACAGTGCCCAAAGGTCACTGCAGACCCAGTGCCAGGGGACTGGTCAAGTTTGCAGCCCAGACCAGTTCTGAAAAATGAAGGCCATGAGGAAAGCACAGGCATGGCAACAAAAACCAGCCCCATGATTTCAGTCACCCTGGGTTGTGTGTAACCATACAGTTGTTATCCCTGAAGGATAAAACAGCTCTGGAAAATCCAAAAAGAATTGTCTAATCTGAAATGATCAAAAAGTACATCAACATTCCTGATTATATAAATATATTCCTGATATATAAACCAACCAAGAGTCAGGGCAGCAAGAGCCATCAAGAGGGGCTTAGTACTTCTGGCATTTTTTTTTTTCCCCAAAGACTTAACATTCAAAATAAACACATTACACCATATATCCCAGCCGTATTGAAATACTTGAACATATCTTTTTATGCCTTACTGCTTTTTCCAGTGCTACTCTTTTGCCAAGAATGTCCTTTTCCTTCCTTGTCCACCTGGAGAAATTCTTAGCATGCTTCAAGGCCCACCTTCTCTCTGAAGTAGTCTTGCATGTACTTTGGCAAAAATGCTCTCTTTTGTGCTCCTGTAGTTTTACGCCCATATCTCAATTACAGCCTGAAACTTTACATAATAAAACTAAAATAGCTACCATTTATTGGGTGGTTACCATGTATGAAATAGGACCAATACTGTTTTGCATGCACTAATTATTTAAACTTCATAATAATAATTATTAATAGGGATAATTATTAATACCCCTATATTATAGATGACAAAGCCAAGGCTCAGAGGGGGTAAGGAGCTGACCCGTGATCCCACAGCTAGAATGGGCAGGGATGGGATCAGGGCCCACATTTCGCTGCCTGTAGAATTCATGACCTTAAGCCCTATACCACTCTGCCTCTTATTTCACAGCTCATTTTACCTGTCAGGCTCCCACATTAAATTGAGTTTGAGTGTAGGAATTAAACCTTTTGTTCTAGTACTCAGCAGTTATGTTAAATAAATGAAGAGGCTACAAGGAAACAGAAGTACTTATTTCTAATAAGGGAGTCATATCCTAAGCCCCCCCGCCAAGAAAAAAAACATTTCAACCTTTGAACAGGGACCTAGGGCTCTCATAAGCAACCACTCCCAGCGAATGAAGGAAAATAGCGTGGAAAACAATCAGAAGAGTGAAGAGCAGCTGCACTATTCTCACCTTTAGCATTACGTCTGGATTGGCGTCATACATTTTAAACTGCATTCTTTACAATGTGAATCAAATGTTCCACACAAAGGTAGACGCAATAGACTTTCCATAGACACAGTCTGTAGTGACATTTCTCTGTAGTTCAATTACCTGACAAGAAATACCTAGTAGCTGCCACATTATCTTAATATGATCCCGTATCTTCCAACAGTCGTCTGTATGCTTCTGTGCATGATTTAAACTGTTTTTCCTAGCATCTTACTCAGGCCAGGCACAATGGAACTCTAAAAGCCACTAAGAACTATATGTAATTTCTTAATTTTCAAGTCGTCCACATTTTATGATTGGGAATGTCCTTGGGAACAGGCCTTTTTTAAACTCTCAGGTCTCGCATGTAAACTGTGAATTCACTCATCCTTGTTAGAGAGAATTCACAGGAAGATATGTAACAGATGGTAATTTAGGTGATTAGGCCTTAAGCTTGGTCAAAATCCACCCTGGCCTAATCTACCTCTTACTTTCCCCAGCTCTCTCAAAAGACTCAGCTATCCAAATATAGAACAAATGGTCTCTTCCCCTGTGCACTGCTGTACTGGTTCTCTGCAACTTTCCTCTTGGGCTGGCACTTTGTATATAAGCTCAGTCCTCCTTTCTGTTTCAATTCATGTGGTGTGAGAACAAATTTCTCAGATGGCACAACATTAAGAAACAGCTTCTAGGCCAGGACTCTCTGTAAAGGTAGGGGTCCTCACCCTTGCCGCTGGCTCCCTGGCCTACTGAGCAACTCATGGCAGGACTACCACCGTTGGGCAGGCCTTCCTACAGCCTCAAACTTTTGGCTTTGCAGGGCCGGCTCTAAAGTCTCCATCTAAAACTTCCTCTGGTCACTGAAGACCAAAAGTGCAAAGGTGCTTCTGGGTTTGGCAGTTAAGTTAAGCTGAGCAGGGATAAAAGAAGCTAGGGAGCCAGGCAATATCCGGGCAAAACAGTACCCTAGACAGGCCTCTGGGCTCATTCTAGGGTCAACAGGAGTCTTCTCTACTCTGGATGTCTGAGGCAGCATCAGTGCACCTAGAAAGGCTGTAGGCGTGAGGAAGATGCTTCAACTCAGAGAACAGTCTTACTCTGCTCTGGGCCCATCATCCCCACAAACAAAATGCTCTCTCATCCCCAGGGGGCCACTAACCTGCTCAAGGCCCAAAGAATAAAGTATCTTGGAGTCTGTAACCTTGAGTCCTCGTCAACTGTAAGCTGATGTTCATTCACAGGTAAACCATCTGTTACTCCTAGCAGGAAGAGTTGGATCTTTGCCCCTAAGTGGTCCCATCTGTAATTACTATAGACCAAACATAATTACTCAGTGCATCAACTTCTCTGATGAGGAAAAAGGCAGGAAGAGTGAAGTTGTCTTGTGTTCACACTAATTAATCTCTATGATGTTTTACAAGGTAACAGGTGTGTGAGCACCAGGAAGGATACATGATACCCATGGTAATGGCCTGATAGCTATGATATTTGAACACAGAGAATGAAGTACAGAGCACAGGGCCAAGGATGAAATCTGAGAGAGGAGAGAAAGGTCACCTTGGGGCTAGAGTAATGGATACTTCACCAAACTTTTCATTCTAAATTCTGGAGGTTCCGCTTCCTCAACATGCCACCTATATGTGCTTTATCAGCACTGATGCCCAATCCTTCATCTCTGAAGTCTTGGGGCCACTCCTCTTTGGTGGTTTCCTCTTGCTCGCTGTAGCTGTCTGCACTGAATCCTGCATTCTCTGCCAAGACAGCAGGATCCTCTTCTTCGTGGAAACAGCAGGAACATGTTTCTGGCTTTGGGTCACACAAGGTAACAGAATTATCTTTCTGGGCTCGGGGATCAGTGGGCAGACTTTCCCAACCCAAGTGGTCTGATTCTTCTTCTAGCACTCCCATTCTTTCAGCTATTTCTTCAGCAGAGGGCTCTTTTGGGTCAGGGTAATCCACCAGGATTGTTTCTTGCCTACGCTTGATGCAGTCCGAGAGGTCATAAACTGGGTAAGTCTCTTCAGGGTAACCTAGAGAGAAAAGTAGCACAAAGTCTTACAAACAATGTCTCTTCAAAAAAAATAAAGTATCAGGCTCAAAGAGGATTCTCAGGCAGCAGCCATCCTATCCTAACAAATCCATTCAAGAAATCTCTGAGACAGTTCTAACACTTCTGAAGTTTCACTTGAGCAAATTCTTAGCAATCTGGCTGACTATCCCAGTGCTCTTTGAAATACCCAATTCAGTTGAAAATCCCTTCTTAAGTGCAGGGTGCTTGGGGCAGAAGTCTCACACCACGTGCCTCTGCAGTGCCGATGAAGATTAAACAAACAACATGCACTTCAGTTAAAAAAAAAAAAAAAAAAGGCACCAAATACCAGATGGAGAAAGCATAGCTCAAGGCTAATGTTTATAATTTCTATTTGGAACCATTTTCAAATCGTCCCAGGGGTGAGGGGAGGGAGGTGGGAAAGGAACACTAAGCTCTTTGAAAAATATACCCTGAAGCCTTCTACTTATCAAAACAATTGAAATGGCTCGCAAGTGTCAGAAATAGAAAGCACTTTAGCAAGACATGCCCAAGATCCCGAAGGACAAGCACTGACTGCATTTTCAGGAGACAGAATTCCCATTGTTGGCTTCTTCATCTTCACAAAATGGAACAAAAAAAAAAATAAACTGGTAAACAAAATGAGTAATACTGGTACTGAATCCCAGCTTTGATAATGAGAGAAAATGCTGCCAAATTAAGGAAAGAAATGAAATAAATCTGTGTCAGCCAAACCGCGCCTGAGCGGCAGATGGGCTGCTCTGGAGCTCATATGCCAGTGCTGGCAACGGCCAGCATTTTCACTACACAATGTGAAAAGCTGGAGAATTCCAAACCCATTTGCACATTATGATAATTGGCAAATTCAATCCTAACACAAATCACTTTCTGCCTACAAATTATGAAAAGTAGGGGTCTTTGTAGTGTAAGGTTTGGGGAGACATTTTCACAACATTTACTGTTTCTTTCTGATTATAAAAGTCATACAGACTCATTGTAGAAAACATGTAAAATACAGACAAGTTTAAAAAAGAAAAAGCAAATCACCTAGAATCCCACCGTAATTTGTTGTATTTACTCCTGGCCTTTTTACCATGTATGAACATTTACTGTTCTTTTTCCTTTTTTTAAATAAGGAAGGATCGCACTGCATATAAAATGTTGTTCCATGATTTTTTTCATTCAACATTATATCATGAGCATTTCTCCATGTCATTAGCCACTTAAAATTGGCTGCAAAATAGTCCATCATACAGCTACAACATAACTGTATGATTTACCATTCCTCTTAAGACATTTACAGTCCAATTTTCCCCTATTAGAAGTAACACTGAAATTAAGATCTCTGAATATAAATTCATGTCCTCTCTATTTCTTTAAGATAGACTTCTAGAAATATGAAAACTAGACCAAAGGGAATGAGCATTTTAAAAGCCTTTTTTATACTCTGCCAAATTACTTTCCAGAAAAGGGGTATAAATTTTTCAGTCCTACCAGTGGTGTAAAAACTGTCCATCTTACTACACCCTCACCAGCATTGAACAGTAATATGTTAAAAATCTTGCCAATGCAGTATTCTTTCCTAGGTTTAATTTACTGTGGACAGAATGCTAGTTAAAATGGGGCTTAGCTAACCAAGGCCGTTACAGCCTTTGTGGTCAAGAGTAGGGGCTGGGGAAGCATGCTTGCTCACTAACTCCCAGCCACTGAACACTGAAGTCCATTTGCTGCCATGTCCCTCCCTGCCTTCTCACCATGCCAAGGACAAAACTTGCTCTTGGACTTCCATGGATATCTGCTTTGGTTTAAGAGAGGGCGGCCCATTGAGGAAAATCAAATAGTGATCCACACAACTGCTGAGGTAGCCCTTATCAGCCAACATTACTGTTTACTCAAGAACTTCATTAAAAACACGAGCAAGCAACAGGAACTGAAGCCATTCCCAGAGACCACCTTTTAGCCAAACCATAGACAGGCCCATAAAATAACAACACTCAAGAGTAATGTGCTCCTTAGAACAATCAATTATATGAGACCAAAAGGGCAACATTTGCCCAAAACCAAAAATGAGAAGGCAGGAAGGGACAGAAAACGAGGATGAAATGAAATGAAGAACCTAGGACAGAAATGGGGAGAGGGCTGACACATTGTGGGGAATGAAACCAACGTTATGGAATACTTTATGTACAAACTATCAAATGGGAAAGTAATTTGCTCTAAAAACTTTGATCTAATGCACAATAAAAAGTTTAAAGAAACAAAAACAATACATGAGCAAGCAACAAAAATGTACTGGTCTTATAAGGAAATCAGCAATTCAAAACAGGAAGCAAACTAAGCAAATTACACAAACAGCCCCTAATACATTGCAGGAAATAGAAGTTAAATGTTAACTTAAAACTGATATTCTCAATAATATTTAAGAGGACATTACACTGATAAAGCCAAACCAGGCTTGAATACAAATGGAGGAAGCAGGAAATAAGAAAGAGGTTATCAGAAATAGAAAATCATAATTAGTACAAGCAGAATTTTAAACTCAACAGAAGAAAATAGATTGAAACGGACATGGCTGAAAACCAAATTAGTATATTAGAAAAACCACATTGAGGAACTCTCCCAGGACAAAAAAAGGAAGAAATAACCAATTCTACACAAACTCTTCCAGAAAAATAGAAGAGGAAACACATCCCAAAGCATTTTATGAGGCCAGCATTACCCTTAAATAAAAACTAAAGACATTATAAGAAACGAAAACCAGAAACCAATATCCCACATAAACACAGACATAAAAAATCCTTAGCAAATTGACTAAGTATGGTTTATTCCAAGAATGCAAGGTTGTTTTAACATTCAAAAGTCAATCAGCGTAATTCAACATAGTAACAGACTAAAACAGAAAAATATGGTAATCTCAGTTGATTAAAAACAAAAACTACTGACAAAAGTTCAACACTCATTTATGATTAAAAAGTCTCAGCAAAGTAAGAATAGAAGAAAGCTTCCTCAACCTGAAACAGAGCATTTATGAAAAACCTCGCATCATACCAGTGGAGAATGTCTGAATGCTTTCTACTAGTATCAGAAATCTAGGATGTCTGCTCTTACCACGTCTATTTAACATTGTGCTGGAGATTCTAGCCAGTGCAATCAGGCAAGAAAAAATAAAAGCCATATAGATTAGAAAGGAAGAAGTAAAAATTGTCTTTACTCACAATTTGACTGTCCATGTAGAAAATCTTAAGAAAACTAAAAAAACTAAAAAGCTACTAGAACTAACAAATTAGCAAGGCCACAGGATACAAGGTCATAATGCAAAAATCAATTTATTTCTCTATCATAGCAACAAATAATTAAAATTTAAATTAAAAATATCACTTTTATAAGTAGCATAAAAGATATGAGCTACTCAGGAATATATTCACAAAATACACATAAGAGCTATATACTGAAAACTACAAAGCATTGCTGCAAGAAATAAATAAATGGAAAGCTATTATATGTTCATGGATTGGAAGATTCAATATTATTAAGATGTAAGTCCTCCCCAATTGATCTTCAGATTCAGTGTAATGCCAATCAAAATCCCATCAGGTTTTTTTTTTTTTTCTAGAAATGAACACACTGATAAATGTGAAGGATCTAGAACTTGCCAAAATAATTTTGGAAAAAAAAAAGGAACAAAGCTGGAAAACTTACACTATCTGACAATATGAAACTACAGTAGTCAAGATAGTGTGATATTAGTATAAATAGAGACATACAGATTGATGGAACAGAATGGAGAGTCCAGGATAGACCCACACAATTGATTTCAACCAATGCACCAAGGTAATTAAATGCAACAAAAGGATCTGGAACAATTGGAAATGAATAAAGGAATAAAAAATGAAACTTCTGTCCCGACCTCATACCATATATAAAAATTTACTGAAAATGGATCACAGGCCTAAATGTAAGAGCTAAGACCATAAAAAATCCACTGCCTTTGAGTCGATTCTGACTCATAGCGACCCCACAGGGTTTCCAAGGCTAAAAATCTTTACGGAAGCAGACTGCCACATCTTTCTCCTGCAGAGCTGCTGGTGGTTTAAAACCGCCAACCTTTCGGTTAGCAGTCGATTGCTTTACCCTCTGCACCACCAGGGCTACTATAAAATGTCTAGAAAAGAAATAGGAGAAAAATATTTAGGTTGAGCAAGCCTTGGGCTAGGCAAAGATTTCTTAAACAGAACACAAAAAACATGAACCATAAAAAGAAAAAAAATGATATACTGGACTTCATCAAAATTAAAAACTTCCAGTTTTTGAAAGATGCTTTTAAGAAAATGAAAAGGCAAGCCACAGATTAGAAGAAAATATTTGCAAAATACACATCTGATAAAGGACTTGCATCCAGAATATATAAAGAACTCTTGCAACTCAATAAGAAGACAACTAAGCCAGTTAAAAAATGGGCAATTTGAACAGACCCTTCACCAAAAATACAGAGATGGCAAAAAAGCACATGAAAAAATGTTCAACATCATTAGTCATTTGGGATATGCAAATTAAAGTCACAATTGAGATATCACTATATACTTACTAGAATGGCAAAATTACAAAGACTAACAATACCAAGTGCTAGCAAGGAAATGGAGTAACCGGAATTCTCATACATTGCAGGTAGGAAGGCAACATGGTAGAGCCAGTTTGGAAAGCAGGCTGACGGTTTTTAATAAAATTAAACATACACTTATCATAAAACCCAGAAATCTTACTCCTAGGTATATACCTAGGGATATATACTACAAACATATGTCCGAAGGCTTCTATGTAAAAGTTCACAGCAGCTTGATTCATAATAGCTTAAAGCTGAAAACAGCTCAAATATTCCTCAACTGGTAAACGGATAAATTATGGTATATCCAACCAAACAAAACACAAGCATGTGTCACTTAATGTCCACAGTACATTCCGTGAAACAGGGTGTTACGTGATTTGGACGTTGTACAAACACTATATTATGTACTTAACAAAGCTATATAGGATACCTTCTGTTTCACTTCCAAATCGATACTTCTCCTTTGCCTGTTGCTGCTGCTATCACTAGCACTGGTTTTGCAGCATTTGGGATCCATGATGCACTTTGCAGTAACATTTTTGAAAGAAAATTAGAGAACACTACAACACTCAAGAGACCCGCGATAAACGAGATTAGATGCTGCTGCCTATGAGTCGAAGCATACACTATTGTACAGTAAAACTTTTTATTTCTAAATAGGGAAAGTTTACATTAAACTGATAGAAAGTACAGTATAGTATATACATAAGCCAATAACATAAGTGTTTATTATGACTATGAAGACATGTGTTACAGGTTATACATGTATTGTACCATTATATATGCCTGGCAGCACAATTGTTTTGTATACAAGAGACTTGAGATACATGTTACGTGCGGGAAGCTGTTGTGTTCGCTACATCCCCTTATGTCTGCTACATCCCATTATCCGATTGGGATTTCTGAACTTTATTATAACCTTATGGGACCATGGGCATATATGCAGTTGGAGGTTACCCGAACGGACATTATGCGGTGCATGACTGTATTACTATGCAAAACCAAAAACACTACTGACACATAAAACAGCACACATGAATCTCAAAAGCATTATGCTGAATCAAGTAAGCCAGAAACAAAACAGCATATGCAGTATGATCCATTTATACAGAAACTAAAAGGACAGAAAGCAGTTCAGTTATTGCCAAGGGCGGGAGGAGGGGATTAGCTGCAAAGGGGAGGGAACTTTTTAGGGTGATGGAAATGTTCTATGTCATGATTGTGTCATGATTACACAACTCTACACACCTGCCAAAACCCATCCAACTGTACACTTAAAATTGATTAATTTTACTGTATATACATTATACCTCAATAATAAAGCTGATTTAAAAAAAAAATTGTAAGATCTCTTTTCTGTACCAACAACTAACAAAGAAATGAGAAGACATTGTTTACCTTCCCAGTCTTCCATGTAAGGGGCCTCCTCAGCTTCTTTCTCTGCAGTGGGTCTGTCAACGAACTTTCCTTCTTTCATGACCCTGGTGATTTCTCGGAGCTGATGCAACAACCGTTTCTCTTGGTCAGAAGTCACAGTCTGTGCTCTGCTTAGAAATATCAGACAATCCAGCCATTTAGTGGTAAATACTCCTAGGCAGTGGATATTAAACGTCACTAGGGCCTGTCTAGATCCTAGAATAGGAAGTCCAATAGCAGAGGATAATTATTCTAGGAACTAATCCCAGAACTGCATAGAGAGGATGAAATCTTAGAGATGTTAGTTCAAAACTTGATTTTACAAATGGGAAAACTAAGGCCCAGAATAGATCAAGTGATTGCCCAAGACCCTGCAATGAGTTAATGTCCGTGCTGGATTAGACCCTAGATGTCTCAGCTTTCAGTCTAGTTCTTCCTCACTGCCCTGATTCTCTAAACAACAAGCAATTTCACTGCTGCTCATATTACTGCCTTACTACAAGCCACTTTTCTCTGAAGCAAGGTCATCAAAAGAAAACGTGCTGGGCCATGACCTGAAGAAGGCTGTTCGTTCCACATTCAGCTAAAGTCCTATGTTTCTAGGGTTCCTGCAAAGTATGGAACCCCTTTGCAGTAGATAATTTGGCCTTTTTGGTCCTGGTTCTGAGAGGAGGACCACATCTGAGGCCAGTGAGTAAGGGCAAACCTGATTAAGAGGGATCACCTGGGGGCCTGATGCTGCCTAAGCCTCAGGAAGCCCATCCGGAGGCCAATAAAGGCCTGGGAAGACGGAGGCTCATGGGAGGTTCCTGGGTTGGAGAGCGTGAGCATTCTGCTCTCAGAGGAGAGGTGAACACACCCTTTGGGGACATGGAAGTTCTGTGCTTAAGAACACCCCTCTTCCTTCCAGTATTTGTCCCAGGGTGGAGATGTCATCTTGGGGGATAAGAGATTGGAAAATTCTTCGGAAGAGACCAGCACCAGTAACAGCAGAAACCTTGGACCTGGGAGGAGGCAGAGTTGGGAGAAATTGAGGCAGAGGCTGGAGAAAGCAGAAGCCAGCGTCTGCTGAACAGAGAAGTGGAAGTAGAGCAGTCTGAGAAGACTGGATGGAGAACTGTAATGGGCTTAGGGCTGCTACAGCACACCGGAAGCAGCCGAGACCATGAGCAGGCCGGGCAGCCACAGAAACTCCGCCCAGAGTGCAGGGGTGCAGGGCCTGCACAACGAGCCTGGGTGCACTCCATGTAGGGGTTGCCCTCAGAGCAGTTCTGCTTCAAGAGTTGCCATGATGCCAGCCAGGGCTGTCCTTATGCTGCTGGGTGAGAGCTGGAGCAGCAGTGAAGGGAGCAGAGCACCTGCTGACACCTAACGTGTGCCCACCTAGTGAGTAAACACTGACCTTCCATCATGAAAACTTATTTAAGAGTGAACATTGATTTCTATTTACTGTTTGCTAGCTACTTTCCACATGCTAACACTCTGGGAATGTCTTGTGTGTTCTGGCTCTGATCGGACAAATGTAAGATTATAGTGAAAAACCTGTGGGTATACCACAACAGTAAATTTGTATTGTTTAAACAACCTGTGGATGCGTACCGCAGCCCATTACAGCTCTATTCTTCCCATTAGGACAGGAGTCCTGACTCACCACAACTGTTTGTCTGCTCCACATAACCCTGAATCCTTATTATTAAAACCACCCACTTTGTAGGAGATGTCTAGGGCAGACTAGGTCACCTCCAGCTAGAAAAGCCTACGTGGGCTGCATGTTATTCCTCTGGACTGTAGGCAGGGCATTCGATCTTTACTGAATGAAATAGTCTTAATTCTCTGGTTACTATGGAAAACTAGAAAGCCTTAACTAAAAGAGGGATAGCTGGCTGCTAGGCTAGGAGAACGAGCGACAGGCAAGAGAAGCTTTCTCAGAGAATTTCAAACTAAAACATCCTCTCTTAACGCTGAACTAGTGTTCATACTGTTATTGTCTACATCATGCATTAGGCAATTAATCATGGCCCACCTTGTGACACCCTAAATTTATTGCAATGAATGTTTTCCTAGACTCCTTATTGTCTCAACTTGGTGTGATACTCCTGGAGGACAGTGATAATGAGTTCACAACAGTATAGGCACAGTGCCATGGACACTGCCAAGTGCTCACTAAATATTTTAGCTTGATTGGTCCCCATTTATTTGCCTTCCATTTTCTCCCACCCCTGGCTTCCATCATACCATTTTACCAAAACTTGTGAAAATCATCAATAATCACTTTACTCTCAAGTCAGGGGTTCTTTTTCTCGCATTTCAATCTTCCTAACCTCTCTACACTGTGCACATCCTCTCCTTGAAACTTCCTCCTCCCTTGGCTATTGTGACATTTGCATTCCTCCTATTTCTTTAACCATTCCTTTTATCTCTGATCCTGGCTCACTTTCCTCCTCCCATCTTCTAAAACATGGTTTCCCAAAGGGTCAGCCCTAGGACTCTAATCCCTCCATCTGTACAAGCATGCCGTCAGGAAGCTGACCCAATATCACAGATAAAGCCATCACCTATACACAGACGATGCCCAATCTCTACCTCTCATCTTGACTTTTCAGAGAAGCCAGCCTCATAACTCCAGTTATCTACTGAGTATTTTCACCTGGAGGACTTGCCACTGCCTTGAAGTCAATCTTAAATTCACACCTCAAAACTAGGTCCAATTGGTGCAGAATCATGAGCAGCTGCATGAATAGGCAGGCCAGGAGAGATCAGATACAGAAGAGTCCAAGATGTCAGAAAACAAAAGGTCACAGTTGGGAGATAACCTCACCAGACTTTTAAATGCTACAAACCCAAAGGAGTTGTCAAGTTCTGAGTCTAAGAGTTAAATACAGAGAGAATCAAACAGATTCTAACACTACCATTCATAGTTAGAGAAGAATTCAGACTATCAAGAGAAGACTGAAGGCCCCGACAGCACAGAACGATACGCCACGAGGATTTGGTGATCTCACCTTTCCCCATGGCCCTAACTGTTCATCTCCAGCCAAATGACTTCTAAACCTATATCCTTTGTTCTGACCTCAAGACTTAAATTTCCTGTTGCTATTGTATATTACACATGGATGTTCTGGTGGTACCTCAACTATATTCAAAGATGAACTCATGTTCCCTATTCCAAAGCCTTATCTTCTTTTTCTTCTTTTGTGTTTATATCTTGGTTAATGCCATAAATGTCCTTCTAGTTTGGGCTGGAAATCTCCAACTCATCTTTATCTCTTTCACTGCTCTTATCTAGTTAGTAGTTTTCCTTTGGGGGAACGAATCCCTCTTTCACTTGCAGTTCAAACGTTAGGGCGAAACCATCCATCCCCTCACTCCTCCTAATAAATCTGTGTTGTTTTAAGTCACTAAACTTGTGGTAATTTGTTACAGTAGCCATAGAAAACTAATACACCTTCCTAAAGTACACTTTCCCTCTCTGAGATGCAGTTCCTTGTACAGAAAATAATACTTGCTGTTGACAACCATTCAGTGCTGCATAGGGTAAATGAAAATAGGTACCAAAAAAGATATTATTGCTAAAGCCTCTTTCGTTCTTTTAACATGCACTGACATTGTAAATGTGCCAGCACTAGGAATACAAATTTAAACAATTAAAATTCCCTGCCCTCAAGAAGGTTATAGGGCATTAGGGAAGACAGAAAAGTTAACAGAAGATCAGAAAGTAATACGATGTACACAATACTAAGCAAGCCCAGGTGGTGTGAGAGCACACAGGAAGAGCACCTAATCAAGTTTTTGGGTTCAGGGAAGGATTCTCAGAAAAAGTTGTGTCTATGTTGAGACTTATAAGACAAGCAAGAGTTACAATAAGTGTGTGTGGCAAGAGAGGAAAGGCACCCTAGGCAAAGGAGAAAAGTATACGCACAGGTATTTTAGAGGAACAGCAAGTAGTCAGTGTGGTTGGACCAGAGACAGAGAGAGAGAGAGAGAGAGAGGTGGAGAAAGATAAAGCAAAAGAAGTATGCAGGACTAGGTCATTCAGACTATGTAAGCCATGTTAAGGATTCCGGACTTCATCAAGAGCAACAGGGACCTAGTGAAGGGCTTAAACAAAACACATAATCCATCTGTTTGGAAAGTAGAAAGTGGATTGAAGGGAGGCAAAATCAGAGAAAAGGAAACCATATGAAGTAGTTCTGACCTATGTCAAAAGTAAAAGTATTCCCTCCCCATTATAGATTGAACTGTGTCCTCCAAAAATGTGTGTCAGCTTGGCTAGGCTATGATTCCCATTATCCTGTGGTTGTCCTCCATTTTGTGATCTGATGTGATTATCCTATGTGTTGTAAATCCTGACCCCTATGATGTTAATGAGGCAGGATCAGAGGAGTTATGTTAATGAGGCAGGACTCAATCTACAGCATGAGGCTGAATCTTGAGAGTCAATCTCTTTTGAGATATAAAAGAGAGAAGTGAGCAGAGAGGAGTGGGATCTCATGTCACCAAGAAAGAAGCACTGGGAGTGGAATGCGTCCTTTGGACCCAGGGTCCCTACACTGAGAAGCTCCCAGACAAGGACCCTCCCCTAGAGCGGACAGAGACAGAAAGCCTTCCCCTGGAGCTGGTGCCCTGAATTCAGACTTCTAGACTCCTAAACTGTGAGATAATAAATTTCCCTTTGTTAAAGCCATCCACTTGTGGTATTTCTGTTATAGCAGCACTATATAATTAAGATACTCCCTCAGTCATTCTTTCATCCATTTCAACTAATACTTTTTTAGACCTTACTATCGGCCTGTGCTAGGCTCTGGGAATAAGAAGGATAATCCCTGACCCTTATGCAACTTAAGTCTTTTGTAGGGAGACAGATTTATTAGGTGGAAATGACAAGACACGGTGATTGATGAGATAAGGGAAGGGAAGGAAAGGGTTAATCAAGGATGACATCTAATTTCTACTTTGAGTAACTAAGCAGATGGTGGAGCCATTTACTGAGATGGGGAATACTAAGATACAATAGGTTCAGCTGGGTATGGATGATATGTTCCATTTTGGACCTTCATTCATTCAAGAAACATTTATCGTTTGATGAGGATAAGGCAGACATCTATCAGACATGACCAGTAGGCCCCAGAATGTATCAGTCAGGGAATGGCCATGATTTACTCTTCTCCAAGGAATATATGTACAAATGCTTGTATCAAAAGTGAATATCTATTCTTATTCCAACAAGTATTTACTTAGTACCTACTATGTGAACACAATAAATAAAACAGAACAAATTGTCCTCAAAGAGCTTACATTCCAGCAACCCACACCAGAAATCTAGTCCTGCATGTATACTCAATATGCCTGTCAGGGCCGTTTGCTAACAGAGGTTGCACCCTCACCACTCCCCTTCGGCCATGCCATACTTCTGGGAGGTGAATCATTGGCACTGGACATGCTTCTCCAGGAGGGAAATTTTGCTGACTATAGAACAGAAGTGAGGACACCTCCATTCTGATTCCTAGATCCTTTCCTTAGTCTTTCTATCCTTAGGCTGGATATTGTACTTAATATCAGACATGCGTGGCACAATACCAACCTCTCAGGAGGCTTCATTATTTAAACATGTATATTGACTTACAATGCTTACAAGTAAAAGCTATCTTATGTCTGAAAAGTTCTTTTAGATAATATTAAAAACCTTTCTCATTATTTCCATTTTTACATAAGCATTAAGATGAAGTTTCAGAAACTGTATATTTTACTCTCACATATTTATTCATTTACTCAATAATTTGCATAACACTGAACATATGCTTTTTCTCTTGAAAAACTGAAATTGCTTATAGTATGAAAATGGCAATGTTATATGAGAAATGATATGTACAAGATAAATAAAGTGACAATTACATAAAATGAAAATAAGTGGCCCATAAATCAAAGATAAGCAAAATTTCAAGCTGACTCCCTAAATGGGAAATGGTCTGAAAACCTACCTCTCACCATTAGGTCCCACTCTGTTGATTAATTTTTCCATGGCTTCCTCTGTCTCCTTCAGTTTTTCTTGCAGTTGAGCAAGCTCAAAATTGGCTGAAAAATAAGCATCAATCTGAGAACCATCACTGACAACTCCCTAAGCCCTTTTCTGAAACACTGCTGGCTGTGACAGTCTACAATAATCCAGGCTGGTTCTGGGACTCAGAAAAGAAACAGAGTTTCTTCAGTTAATCCAACCAAGATGAAAAAGGTACTAAGGTCTAGGCATACAGATCTATAGGACATGTTTAGTGAGTGATGAACAAATCACTCCCCCTCTTACACACAAAATCCAGCAAGACCAGCTAAAGAAAATACCTAGGAGTGAAAACCCCTACAAAGTCACCCAAGAAGAAATGCAGAAGACAAACATACACTTATTGATCCTGATGACGTTTGAGGGTAAGGTACCAAACCTATAAGGTACTTTAGAAAAGGAGTTAAGACCCTGCAATGAGCAATATTTCACCTGTATCTAAGGTGTGAAGCTATATCTGGCAGGTAATAGTTTACATAGAAGAAGTCTTGAACTAGAGCTAAGACCTCCCTCCCCAAGGTCTTCTACCCCCTCATCTTGGGTTAAGAGGGGCCAGGCTTGCTGTAACCCTGCCTCCTAGAAGCAGTTTTCTTAACTGGGGTAGTATGGGGTACATCTATCTATTGGAATAACAATAAGACCCTAAATGTAGAACAGAAAAAATCAATCACTCAGTACTTGAAATGACTTTAAAGTAGTAAGAAAATAAAATCTTCATTATATAGATAATCTAGTTTTTAAATTTTATAGCGGAATACCGTTCTACTTAGATACATTTAGAGAATCACTGTAAAACGTAATATTTTAAAGGCCCTTTAGCTCTTCTAGAACACACTTCCACGCATTTAGTTAACGCTTGTAAAGTGTTTAGAGGACTGCACCACGTAAGTGCTCAGGTTATTTTTATTTTCTGTATAATTCCAAATTGAAGGATAAGAAGCTGATATAATTCCATTACCATTATTATTATTAAAACATCTGCTCTTAGGAATTCATTTGATTTACTTTGTTCTGTTTTAATTGCACTATATGACAGGATACAGAATCTGCTTCTCTTTACAAAGTCCATAACTCTTTTTAAAATGAGTTTACTGATGCATTTACTGTCACTGTTGGTTAGAAACTATCTCAATTAAGACCATAATAACAACTTTCTTAAAGGATTTCTTGAATATTTAAGATTTACAAAAAGAAACCGAACAACACCTTGCTCAAAAACTACTGAGTTATAGAAGAAGTTAAGGATGGAATAAAGAAATTCATAGAATCAAATGAGAACAAAAACACATCCTACCAGAACCTTTGGGACAAAGCAAAAGCAGTGCTCAGTCAGTTTATAGCAATAAATGCACACATCCAAAAAGAAAAAAGGGCCAAATCAAAACATTTTGAGAGCGGCAAAAGAAGCCTTTGGGCACCAGAAGATTTCCAAAAAGGACACAGAATATGACTGGGATGTATCTATTTCCATAGAGGATCCAGGAAGAAATCCAAAAAGCAGATGCTTTGGTGGCTCAGCCACACTTCATTTTGCTGTCTTTCTTTTAAAAACTTCTGATGAGGCTTCATTATCCACAGGATAAAGTAGTTTAGCCTCCAAGGTTTTCAACAATCTGGCCACAACCTACCTACTTGTCAGGACATCTTTCTCACAACTGCCCTACATGAACACTCCTCAAATTCTCCATAAGCTTAAGACCTCATGTTTACCTGCCCCTGTCTTACTCAACCCATCCTATCTGCCTGATCATTTGCGGTTGGCTCTCCTCCACAGCTACTCCAGTTAGATATGATTTCTCATAATGCTTTTGCCAAATACCTTCTTTCTAGGTAGCTAACTTTTTTTTTTTTTAACATTTTATTGTGCTTTAGGTTAAAGTTTACACAGCAAATTTTCCAGTCAATGATTCATACACAAATTGTTCCATGACATTGGTTGCAATCCCCACAATGTGTTGGCACTCTCCCCATTTCCTCTCTGGGTTCCCCTTTTCCATTTGTCAGGTTTCCCTGTCTCTCCTTGCCTTCTCATCTTTGGTTTTGGGCAAATGTTGCCCTTTTAGTCTCATATAATTGATTATTCTAAGGAGCACATTCTTTACAGACGTTACTATTTATTTTATAGTCCTATCTATTATTTGTCTGAAAGGTGGCCTCTGGGAGTGTATTCAGTTTCAAGTTAGAAGGCTGTCTTAGGACAATAGTCTTGGGGGTTTCTCCAGTCTGTTTCAGACCACTAAGTCTTTTTTTTTTCCTTTTAGAATCTAGATTTTGTTCTACATTCTAACCGAGACCTTCTATTGTGATCCAGGTCAGAGTGGTCGGTAGTGGCAGCCAGGCACCATCTAGCTCTTCTGGTGTCAGGTTAGAGGCTGTGGTTCATGTGGGCCATTAGTCCTTTGGACTAATTGTTTCCTTGAGTCTTCAGTTCTCTTCATTCTCCTTTGCTCCAGGCAGGAAGAAACCAATAGTTCCTTCTCAGTTGGCCACTCGCAAGCTTTTAAGACCCCAAATGCTACTCACCAGACTAAGACGTAGAACATTATCTTTATGAACTGTGTTTTGCCAGTTGATCTAGATGTCCTCCGAGACTATGGGCCTTGGCCTTCAAGTCCAGTAGTTTAGTCCCGATGTCTAAGTAGTTTCTATAACTGTGCCCTCATGCGCTCTATCAGATACATATATGAGTATACATGCAGCATTTACAGATATATATGTAGAAATATCCACAATCATACCTATATATGTACATGAGTATACTCCCGTATGACCTCCCTCACCTATTTAGCATACATATTTGCCTATGTATCTACTCACAAATTGTTTGTAAGACTTTATATGTTATAGCATTTACCACAACTGCCCTTTATTCTTGCAGATCTATCAGTGTCTTCCTTTGCTTTGGTCACATTGTGCTGACTTCCCCCATATTGTGTATTGCCTTTCCTTTTACCAGAATTAACACTTGTCTACTATCTAGCTAGTGATTCTCCCTCTCTCTCCCTCCCATCCCTGATAAACATCAAAGAACGTTTCTTTCTGTGTGTAAATCTATTCTTGGCTTTTTATAACAGTGGTCTCATACAATATTTGTCCTTCTGTGATTGATTTACTTCACTCAGCATAATGTCCTCCAGATCCATGTTGACAGATGTTTTGTGAATTCATCATTATTCTTCATTGTTGTGTAGTATTCCACTGTGTGTACGTACCACAGTTTGTTTATCCATTCATCCGTTGATGGGCATTTAAGTTGTTTCCATCTTTTTGCTGTCTGAATGCTGCTGCAATGAACATGGTATGCATATGTCTATTCATGTTACAGCTTTTATTTCTCTAGGATATATACCTAGGAGTGGGATTGCTGGATCATACAGTATTTCTATTTCTACGTTTTTAAGGAAGTGCCATACTGTTTTCCATAGTGGTTGTATTTTCATCTTCCAATCTCCCCACAACCTCACCAGCATTTGTTGTTTTCTGTTTTTTTGATCAGTGCTGTTACTGCCAGGCTGAGATGGTGTCTCATTGTTCTAGGTAGTTAACAAGTTATTTTTCCTGACATTCATTGTAGACTATAAATTCTTAGAGGAAAGAACCATGCCTTATGCATTTTCATTTCCCCACGGAACACAGAATATTCTAGGTGGTCAATAAATATTTGATGACCATGTTCCAAGAGTCAGAAGTGTTAAACTCTGTTCCTAAAATCTAATAACTGGCTTTGGCAATGACTTGATTTCTTTGCCTCAGCTTTCCTCTCTGTGAAATAAAGATATTTGCTACCAGTACTCTGAAGCCTGAAAATGAGAAGTAACCCATTCCCAATGTGAAATGGTGGTTCTGTAGCTTTTATAACTATCTTTCCCTCAAAAGCCCAACATTTGAGAATTCCCAGAGTTAAGATAAAAGTGACATCAGATTAACTTCAAGCAACTTTTGAGAAATGCTTTTATGTCATACCCAAAGATTGTCTCTCTGGCTATACTTACAGCTATCTTACTCAATAACACTTGTGAATACACTGAGAAGGAGCACTTACTAATTTTCCGGTGGGTGCTTCCAGGTGTGGCAGTAGAGCACTTCCGATCCTCTGCAGTCGTTTTCCCCTTTGAGAGCTGAGAATTGAAGGAGGTACAGCACATCAACAGCAGCTCAGAACCTCAAAGTCATGGAACCCCTCATATTAAATGAAAAAAAAAATGAAAGGTTGAGAGACAAAATAAGGTCACAAATCAAATAGCAACATTAGAGAAGCATCTCAAAACAAAACAAAAAAGCCACCAAAAGACGAGATGGACTCCAAGTAAAAAATTATCAAGGCACAGGAGAAAAAAATCTCCCTACAGGTCACCTGCCTTACCCATGGTCAATTAGATGGAGATGTGCAGCCCCTAGAAGCACTCTTGTAGAGTCAACACAGGCTACCTGCAGAATTCCTGGGCAACAAGGATCTTACTCTAGTTAGGAGAGCAAAGCGAATTTCTGCCTCCACCTCACAGTGCATTAAGCCCATGGCCTGCAAAAGCCTGCCTGGAGGTGGAACTTAGTTGTGGGTCTGCTTTTAAAGGATCCAAATCATGTCTCCCCAAAGCTAGGAAATATTAGGCTTATTTGCAGAACATGATAGTTCTGCCTCAGGAGAATTACTGGAGATAATGTTAAATCAGCACCTCATACTCGTGGGGTTGAGAGGAGAAAGTGGTGTTGATACAGTCATTATTTGGCTTCACAGCTGCTACTTGGAAATCACTCTGCCAATCCTAATAATAAAGCTGCTCTTAGAACATCTTTATGAATTTTCAGCTGGCGAAGATGCTCAATTTTTTTTTTGTCTTTAAACTAGAATGCTCACTGGATTAGGAACCAGAAGACCCAGGTTCAAGTCCTGGTTCTACCCTTTTAGTTGTCAATTCTAGGCAAATCACTTAAACTCTAAGGAAAGATTTTCTCATCTGTAAAACTGAGATAATATCTATCCTAAGCACCTCACAAAGAGGAGGCAAGGTTTAAAGAGATGATGGATTTGAGAGAGGTTATGAACTATAAAAGATTTTAATGAAGACAGTGATTTTTTGATGATAACAAATTTTCATTGATATAACATGACCAAGATGATTCCACTTACCTTAAATAGAATGTACAGTATATATAAGAAAATCCCAAAACCATAGATTGGAATAATCTGCCCCATCAGGCCTCTTCCAGTACCTCCTCCTCCCGTGCCTCCACCTGCTCCTTTGGCCTTTGCAAATGCCTCTGCCAGGTGAGACCTCTGGAATCGAGCCCCAGGGGTCTGGCCATCTGAGGGCACCTGGTGATGATGCATCATGGGTGGAAATCGACCCAGTTTTCCTGAGAAAATAAAATACACTGTGTCTATTTCTTCTACTATTTCAAATATCATTATGATGAAAATACTTTATGCAATGAGGTACAAATAACAGAAGCCAACTCAAAGCAAGTTTAAGAAAAACCTGGAACTTGACTATAAGGATACAGAGGTACCAAACAGATTCTAAATGTGATGTGGCAGTCTTTAGCTGTTCACCAAACCCATTTTTCTTCCTTTTTAGTCCACAACTAGACGACATTTCACAGCCTCTCATACAGTTAAATGTGGTCATGGGATTGAGTTCCAGCCAAAGGAATCTGAGTAACGTGCTAGTTCAAGGCCTTGCCTAAAAAAAGCTCCCATGTATTAAAATCCATGTTTCTGTCCCTTCTGCAAGCTGGATGCTGACACCCAAGGAGACCCTGGAAGCAATATGTTGAAAACAGCAGAGCCTCCATCAGCCTGGGTTCCTGAATAACTATGTGGCACACAGCCCTCCACTACTGCCACCCCACCAGCCTAGAACCATCTGGAACTGTTTATGTGAGAATTAAATTTCTATTGTGTTAGGGCCATTATACACTAAAGAGTCTATCTGTTACAGCAGTTAGCTACCTCTAACTAATACATATAAGGAAATTCAAACTAGTCTCAGGAGAGAATAGAACTAGAAACTGGAAAGTCATCAGGAACCAAGACAGCTACTCTCTCATTCTCTCAATCTCTCTATGTGGCCATAAGGCTTTTTTCTGTTCTCTGTGCACATCTTCTTCATTCTCCTTTCTCTGTAGACCACTTCTACAAACCTTTGTGGAAGGCGGTCATCCTAAAACTCCTTAATTTGCATGTCCTTCACAAGATCAGCAGAGACTGGTTAATATCTCTTAGACCTAATTCCAAATTCCTAGGAGGAAGATTTTGTGTACTCAGCTAGGTAAGCATCCCTTCCCAATCACCAATGGCTGAGCAGACAGGATTCAGGTACTACAAACAGGGTCAGAGAGACCCAACTTTGTGAGTGGAAGAGCAGGGCGTAGAGGAGGGAAATGGTACATCAATTTTCTTGCATTTTTTCCTCCATCAAGAGCAGCTAAACATTAACACCAACTGCCAACTCTCCTGAGAAATATAATTGAGAAAAAAAAGGAAAGACACATCTTCAGAGGGCCAGGTAAACAGACTTGTATCATAAAACCCCTGGGAGGTAGCACTATAGAGCAGAAAACACTAAAAAGCAGAAAGACTTCATAAATAAGACTCTAAAAATACAAACTGTAAAATGAAAAATTGTTGGATTTGAGTTCAGCAAAATTATGGATTTCTGTTCAATAAAAAACACCATGAGCAGAGTTAAGATAAATGACAAAAGAGGAAAAGATTTGCAAAATCTAAAACTGACAAGGGATTCAATATCTAAATATACAAGGAATTCCTACAATTCAACATGAACATCACAGGAAATCCAACAGACAAATGGTCAAAAGATATGAGTAGGGAACTCACACAAGGGAAGCCTAAGTGGCTAACGAGTACATAAAGAGATGATCAAATTTAAAGAAATAAAATTAAAACAATGGGATACCACTTTATACCCACCAGAAAGGCAAAAATTAAAATGGTGTTAACCGGGACATTGGGAGGCAAGAACTCTCATGTACTGTGGTTACAATACAGTCATTCTACTAAGTAATGTGACTCTACTTAATGACATAAAGTAGGTATATGCCCCGTGATCCAGTGATCTCACTCTGGATAAATCCCAGAGAAATTCTCAAATAAAGCTGTATATATCGTATTTATAGTCTTTATAGATCTGTGTGAGAATGTTAGCTATAGTGATGTTGTAGCAGGGAGCTTGAAGTAACTTTTATTTCCGTAAGTGGAAAATTGGAAAATTTAAATAGAGTGAATACAAATATGTAATTCTATGTAGTTTTTAGAACTCACACTTTAGATATTCCTACAGCAAAATGATTACATTTAAAAAACACTGCACTAAGTAAGAAAATAAGTAAACATCATTATGTACATTGAAGACATACATAACTATACTACATATTTTTCAAGCAAACACGTAGGTAGTGTGGTTGTTGTGTGCTGTTGAGTTGATTCTGACTCACGGCGACCCTAGAGGACAGAGTAGAACTGCCCCATAGTGTTTCCTAGGCTGAAACCTTTACGGGAGCAGATCAACAGGTCTTTCCTCCCATGGAGCAGCTGGTGGTTTTGAACCACTAACCTTTCAGTTAGCAGCTGAGTGCTTAACCTTTACACTACCAGGGCTCCTTAAATATGTACGTACAAGGACATAAACAGATTAGAGTGGGTACACATAAGCAGGGAAGGGAAGGGGCATGTAGATTGGGGACAAAGTGTTAAAAATAAAAGAATAAGAAAGGATCCTTGCATAATGATGTTAATATACTATGGACTGCGGAATATCTTTAAATCAACTCTCTGCTCCTAAGGTAAGAAAAAAAGAGGCTGCTTCTTTCTTACTGTGAAATGTAGTCTAGTTGTGGACCCAAAAGGAAGACAAATGGGTTTGGTGAATAGGTAGAGACTGCCATATCACATTTAGAATGACAGGCAGGAAGGTAAGGCAGCTAGTCACTGGGGTTGGAAGCTGCCTTCTGCCTTTAATGCTCCCTCAGCCAAGCCACCCTCTAATAATCTTTTTTTGCCTCCCAATATTAACTATGGATGACATGGGAATTATAGTAATTATGAACTACTTCTTTTTAAAAGCAGGTCTGCAAAAGAAGCATAGATTCAGAAAAGAGGAGGAGGAAACCAGGTCACCACCTCTTATTCTGGTTGCTAGTGACTATGTCTCTTTTAAATTGTCAAGGATCTTAATATATTAAATGGTATGTACTGGCTATAAAGCTACTATGCACTTTCAAAAAAGCCTAGCCAGCATCCAGGAAACTAACCTTTCTCTTGAGAGAATATGACATATCAGGTGGCTAGTATTCCATAAACTTGCTTTAGTATTTATAGTAATATATTGTTGAAGTTCATTTTACTGTACTGAAAACAATGTTATCAAGACATGGCATAAAACAAAATAATAATAATGAAAACCAGATAATGACATAAAAGGCATTTATTTTGCATTTCTAAAATTGAAGAATGACGATCTAAACATTACACATATCCTCTCCTCAAACATTTATAGATCTGTCAGTCAGGAAGATTTATTGGATACCGAGTACAATCAGTACTCTGTGCTGCAGGTAGGAAAGGAGGAGAGCCAAAAACAAAATAGAAACAACAGTTCCCACATGGAACAATGCTTTTCAGAAGCAGTGCATCAAAAAAAAAAGAGAGGAATCAGATAGGATCAACTATTGAAGGGAATGAGAGACTCAGAATAGCAGAGGAGCAAAGACAAAACAGGAGGAAAGAAGAGTGTGTGCTATAGAAAGAGATGGGAACAAAGAAACCATTAAATGAGGCTAACTGCCAAATTAATTTGGCTCAATTTGGGAAAGTAACAAGAGATAAGCAGGGAAGTAGAGGTTGGGAGGAGTCTAAATGCTCATCTACGGTGCATGAATTTGATACTGTGAGCCTTGGATCAAGGGAATGACTTAATGAAAAAGATGTTTGAAAGAGATTAATATAAAAGTTGAGTATAGGACCTAACATAAAGAGAAACTAGGGTATGGCAAATCAGCAAGAAGGCTATTACAGTAATCCAGTTCTGAGATGCAAGGGCCTGAGGAGGTGGTGGTTGTAGATATAAAAAGGAAAGGATAGGTCCAAGAGTATTACCATGTAATTACCAGCAGTACTTAATATTGAATAGAATGTAGAGCTAATGGAGGAAACAAACAAACAAACAAAAAACCCTCTACCATCGAGTCAATTCTGACTCATAGCGACCCTATAAGACAGAGTAGAACTGGCTCATAGGGCTTCCAAGGAGTGGCTGATGGATTTGAACCGCCAGTCTTTTGGTTTGCAACTGAGCTCTTAACCACTATGCCACCAGGGCTCCACTAATGGAGGAGGAGTCAGAAAAATCCAAGTTCAGGAGTTTAAGATACTAAGAGAAGACAATGAGGAAACTGGGAACCTAGGCTTATGGGTAGGGGAAGACTGATGTCACGGATTCAATTGTGTCCCCCAAAAATATGTATCACCTTGGCTAGGCCATGATTCCCAGTATTGTGTGGTTGTCCTCCATTTTGCGATTTGATGTAATTTTCCTGTGTGTTGTAAATCCTAATTTCTGCCTGTGGTTCATGAGACAAGATTAGGTTATGTTAAAGACGATTAGGGTGGGATGCAACAACCTTACTCAGATCACATCCTGATCCTTGTAAGGTGAGTTTCCCTAAGGTATGGTCTGCATCACCTTTTATCTTACAAGAGATAAAAGAAGAGAGAAGTGAGCAGAGAGGAACCTCATACCACCAAGAAAGAAGAGCCAGCAGCGGAGCATGTCCTTTGAACCTGAGGTCCCTGTGCTGAGAAGCTCCTAGTCCAGGGGAAGATTGATGACAAGGACATTCCTCCAGAGCCAACACAGAGAGAAAGATTTCCCCTAGAGCTGGTGTCCTGAACTTGGAATTCCAGCCTCCTAAACTGTGAGAGAATAAATTTGTTTGTTAAGGCCATCTGCTTGTGATATTTCTGTTATAGCAGCACTAGATAACTAAGACAACTCAACACACATTTTCAAACATTAACTTCCAGATGTTGATGCTGCATTCAGAGGAAATTTAATTGGACTGTAGTTATTAGGCTCAAGAAGAAATTCTAAGCTACCTAGGTGACAGAGCTAATTAAAATTAAGTGAGGAGGCAGAGCAAAATGGTAGTGTAATAAGCAATAGCATGCTCCCATCCCCCAAGAACAAAACAAGAAAAAAACAAGGAGAAATTGATGGACTCAACAGTCTCAGACCTCTGGAAACCAGTCAAAGGGTTAGAGCATCTAAGAGAACTTTAAATCAAGAAAACAGTGACATATAAATAGCAGGAAAGCACTGATTCTCTACCCATGGGTG